CACCAGCACCCGCGGCAGACGACAAAACGGCACCATGCGTCACATGCAACCTCACAGGCCACACAGCCAAAGACTGCGGTCAGAAGGCGGGAAACGCCAAACGAGCGCAGTAGAAGCGGTCCTCTACGCTCTACAGACCAAGACCGCTACCACCGCTCCCATCCTTGTGGCTGTCCACATCCAGCGCCAAACCTGCGACGCCATGATCGATACAGGCGCCTCCCACTCCTTCATCGACGAGGACTGGGCCAAGGCATTACAACTGGAGGCATCACCAGAACAGGTCGCCGTCGCCACTGCGGGACAAACCGAAAACCTGGTCCTGAAAGGCGCAGCAACCACCGAAATCCGTATCGGAAATAAACTCTACCTGGCCAAATTATGGATCCTCCCCAACGCGGGGTTCCCCATTATCCTGGGTCGGGACATGCTGGACCAAATGCCCATCACCATTGGGTTGGAGGGCTTGGCGGAGATGTAGCCTATAGTCCCCGTGATGTTTGGGCTGCGGCTTGGCTGTGACTTGTAGCCCCTGCCGTAGTAGAAGTAACTGCCCTCGGGTGTCCTTGCGGATTGGGATGTTTTGGATGAGTCCAGCCATGCAGCAGCAATTCATCAATGGTCAGGGATGCTTCCCCGAACAATCCGTGAGTCTGATCACCGCCGACTCCACACCGCCAGCATCCAGGCCATTCCGCCAGGCACCGGACAAACAAGGGCCATTTACGGAAATTGTGACAGAATACCTACATGCAGGCCTGATCGAGCCTGCGGCATCCAGCTACAACTCACCCGCGTTCCTAATGCCGAAGAAGTGTACCGACGCGGCCGCCCCACGTAGGTTTGCGACCGCGAACCATCTCCTAATGGCGTTTGATTTGAGGTAGGAGCATGGCCTGTTAATAGGCTACGGGTATTAGGTTCTGGATGAACTGCGCGATCCTGCCCTGTTGCGGATGAAGAGCACCATCGACTTGCACGCGGCTTTTCACCACCTGCCGATAATGCAACCGGACAGGCACAAAACCGCATTCTGGACCCCCAAGGGGCAAATGCAATATGCGGTCCTGCCGTTTGGACTACGCAACGGGCCCGCATTATTCCAAAGGGCCATCAACACAATTCTCCGCCAGCACATCCCACACCAGTGTATGGCGTACATTGACAACATCATCGTCTACGGGAGAACGTTCACAGAAGTGCACGATAACCTAGCTGCCGTTCTCACCACACTCAACGCAGCGGGAAGTCGTCACCTGGACAGGTTCAGCTGGAAAGACCGTGTTGTTTATCTTAAAGACCCGGTGTAACAGCTGGCATGGCCATGGTCTGGGCGGTTTGCATTGGATGTTCGTCATGCGCTGATAGGTGTTGGCCGAACAACCAAAGAAATGCAGCGGTTTCTGGGGCTATCCACATACTTGCGAGCCCACGTACCTCTCAATTTTGCGTCTGCGGAAACACACCTCCGCAATATCATACCACCCAAACGCGTTTGGTGGGACGCGACCTGGCTGCTCCGGTGTTGTCACAAATTGGCGGAGTTTCTCCGGTAGCGCCTACGTCGGGCGGACCTTGCGATGCTGCCGTGGATGGGGTATCTCCATGTACGTCTGCGATCGGCAACGGGACTGGGCGCAATACTTGTACAAATTCACCCCAACACAGGGCCAGCAGTGATCGAATACGCGAGTAGGGTGCTCACAGATGCCAAGACCCGCTACAGCAACACCGAACGGGAACTCCTGGCAATCGTTTGGAGTATCACCAAGAAATTCCGGCACTACGTGGAGCATCGCGAGTTTACCATAGTGACCGATCACCAACCTCTCCTCGGGGAGCTCAGGACAACGCGGCTAATACGGCTACAACTGAAGCTCGGGGCATACCGCGGAAATCTACAGCACCGCCCAGGGCGTACGCTACACGCGCCCGATGCGCTAAGCCGCATCTCCCTGAATCAAAGCGAGACCCACAAAATCCCTAACACCCACGAACAACGGGAAATCATCGATGCCTACCACAAGGAACTGGGGCATGCGCATTGGAAAAAGGTGTTAGACACCATCCGCCAACGATTCCACTGGCCGCACATGCGCCAACGCATCTGGAGGCACCTCATGGACTGTAGCGAGTGTTTTACGTATAACGCGAGCACGCAAAAAACAGGCACACACCTCGAACCCATCACTGCCGAAAGCCCCAGGGAACGACTCACCCTTGACTTCTACGGACCACTGCCCCGATCTGAACAGGGATTCCGATACGCTCTCATGGCGGTCGATCACTACTCCAAGTTCATGATCGCGCAACCGGTGAAACGAGCAGACGTAACAGCGGCCATACCCATCCTGGCCGAAATTTTCCGCCAAGTCGGAACATTCCAGGTGATCCATTCCGACCGCGCCGCCGTTTTTCAATCCCGGGCTTTCCGTCGTTTCTTGAAGGAGCACGAATGCAGACAGCATCTGGCCCACGGATACCATCCCGAGGGCAACGGCACCTGCGAACGAGCAATACGGACATTGGGGCAAATACAAGCCAAGCTGGTAAAAGGGGACTGCACACATTGGGACGAGCACTTACCGCAGTCGGTACTAGCGTACAACCGAACCCCGCACAAATCCACCGGGGCATGTCCAGCGGAGATCTTCTTTGACACAGCCATCCAGCTCGACGCAGACAATCTTTTCAGCATCCAAGCCACGCGCACGGTCCACCACGAACAACAGGTCCGCCGGCACAACGACGCAGCTCGGAAGACGTTCGCAGACCAGGCCAACAAGCACAAATGGCCCAAATTCGAAGCAGGGGACATGGTGACCATCCGACCACGCATCCCAACAACCATGCAGCACGCCGCACGACGCCGTTTCCGCAAGCAGCGCTTCGGACCATTCATGGTCATCACTTTCCAGGGGCACGGAATCTACCGCATCGGAGTCCGCAACCACACGTACGACGCGAAGGCCTGGGAGATGCAGCCGTGGAACCAGCTACCAGGACCGCCACACGAGGGGTTNTCTTTTGGGGAAATAATTTCTTGAAGTATGACACCTTGGGTCACCGGCCGTTCATTTACGCCAACCCTTCAGAGGCTGCAGCGACGACACCTTGCGGTCGGTCTTGTTTTTATTAGACGCCCGTAGTATGTCGAATTCGGGGAGCAGTATTTAAGTCTCCCCGGATACTGTACTGTACTGGAAAACTGTGATGCACACGACTGTATCATGAGGAGCCTCATAAGCTCTTTGATTTAGTTCGTGTAATCTTTGGAAACCCGTGGAATATGTCAGCGCACTAGGTAAGTCTCTTGTTCTGGCGTGCATCACCTGATCGCCGAGTTGAGCATGAGTCCGGTATTCGAGTGGTTGTAGATCTGAACGGAAGTAATACTGCATGTGCCTCCGAGAGAGTCTGGTGGGTGTGTGGATCATGAGTGGGTGTACATGAATGACCTAAATATAATAGCGTGAAGAATTCATTGCGTTTGAAAGTGCCCTTCTCCGAGAGACTCATCGGTGATTGAATTATCATGCGCTAACGGCCTGATGTTCCTGATCGTGCTGCACTCCCTGTCATTTCAATTTAGTTGCATTCAACGTCTGTGACTGAAATTGAGTTCGTTTGTATGGTTTTGGTGCGAGTTAGCTGCCCAGCTCTATGGAAATTAACGCAGTATTTCTCGGATACCGTGTCGTGCAGAATAGATTGCTGTGTGTAAACGTGTATTGGGTTCCCGGGACCCTGTGTTCTCTAATTGCGCGAGACGCTCGTTTTCGCTTGATGCCGCTGCAGATGGGCGGTTGATCAAGTGTCCACTTTGAAGCGCTTATGTCCGTTGAAGCCGAGAAGGCCCGACGGATAAATTCAATCCATCATGGCGATTGATGACTTTGCTATCGTTAGTTAAAACTTGCATTATTTTCGTCCTCTTTGGGAATCTGAAATATTTTCATTTGTGCTAGGAGCTAAAGTCATATCAGGAGACTGAGGTGGAAGCGGATCAAACTATAGATACTGTTGATTTATCAATAACTGATCCGGAACCCACGGAAACAACTTCGGGGAGTCCTTCGATCTCCGATGCCGGAAGTGGAGTTCCTCATGAGCAAATTTCTCCGGATCGACTGGATCACATGGATGAGGATGACGATGTGGTTCCATCTTTCCCGCTTGAAGAACTGGATCGGCTCGACGATATGATCGCGAGGATTCGTTGGGTTGTTCCAGTTCTTCCTCGCGGTGAATTAGAAGTTCTCCTTCTCGCCTGCATTGACTTGGCGAAACGAGGTACTGTTTTGAACTGTAGGAAAAAAATCTGAGATTTTCTGACTATCGTTTTGCCTCAGGTGTTGACCACAAGTGTGAACCGTGTCAAAAGTTCATTAGAGAAGGGCTTACCCTGTCTTTTCAAAGAATTTTAACTGACGAAGCTGTCAGTGGATGGAAGTACGACATTCACGTGAGTTGTCGATCATTTTTTACAAGTTTTCCTGCATAGTTCGAAAGTTTTATTGGCGTTCCCTGTTCGATTTGTATCTCATTGATTGCCGCACTGATATACTGTACTTTGTTCACGATCTTGTTTTGCAGAGGGCCATCCAAAGAAATTGCGAACGCCTCGTGGATCTATGTGTCGTGAAAGTAGTGCACGATAGCTATCCACTACTGGATTTACTTGCCATGGTATTCAATCCGTCAACGAAGTAAGTAATAAAAGTTATTCCTGTTGTTCAATCATGCTGATGTCTGTCGCTCAGGTTCCAGTTGGTGAATAGTTCGCGGACTTCAGAAACACTTAATGCTAGCACTCAGGGAGGAAATCAAAGCATTCAAGCCCTTCAAGATTTGGATAATTTTTACGCATTACCTCCGGATTTGCGGACTCCGCGTGGGTGGCTTGTCGATATAATCAACCGCTTCGGGGCAAAAGGAGGATTCCAGGCTTTAACGCTGCGTTTCAACCGTGAAGACAATCTTAGTGTGCCGTTGATATTTGCCCTGTTGCGACCATTTGGCCTTGCTAGTGAATTTTTGACACCCAATACTATTCGGAGGTTCTTCATGCCGCTTGTCGTACGTACATCGTCATATTTTTTAATTTGCTTCGGTGAATTGAATTCCGCTTTTCACCACAGGAACGTATCCCTACTTATTTGGAGAACCTCACTGATGATGAGCTGAAGAAAGAAGCCAAGCTCAATGTTGATATAAAAAATGATGCCTTGTCAAGTATCGTGAAATGGCTTCGGGCATTTGTTCTTCGTCTGCCACCATATCCCGAGCAAGAAGAAACAGCAAAAAATCTGGAAATTTTTAGGCTAAAAATGATCCTGCGTTTGCTGGAAATTTCGTCTTTTAACGGAAAGATGAACGCACTGAACGAGGTAAATTTTTTAGGCTCACGATGTAAATTGATTCTTCACGAGATTTTTGTTTTTTTACTCAAGCTGAACAAGGCAATTGCTAGTATTTCATACACGCATTCGCGGCACAGCGTAGACGACGACGAATGGCTCACCACTGAGCGGATGGCTAGGTGGATTGAAGAAAACCGCGTACTTCAGATAATTCTGCGTGACTCGCTACATCAGCCGCAGTACGTCGAAAAGCTGGAGAAAATCATCAGATTCTCAATCAAGGAGAAAGCCATGACCACGGATGACCTAGACACGATCTGGGCAGCACAGATCGGAAAACATGAAGCTATTGTCAAAAATGTTCATGATCTGCTTGCGAAGCTTGCGTGGGACTTCTCTCCTGAGCAGCTCGACCACCTTTTTGAATGCTTTCAGGTAAGTTTGATAGTTTATATTTTAAGCACATGACCCGAAATCAATTTCCCCTCGATATTGAAATGTGCGATCCCCGGATAATCGCGTGCTGTCGAAAGAGTACTACAGTACTATTTACCCCAGTTATAATGAAGCATGCATGTTTATATTTTTTATAATTTTTATTTTTCAGGCGAGCTGGAGCCACGCGAACCAAAAGCAACGTGAAAAGCTCCTGGAATTGATACGTCGTTTAGCGGAAGATGACAAAGAAGGCGTGATGGCAACGAAGGTAAAATGCTAATTGTTTGCCGTTTGCATTGTGTTTCTACGTTTTCGCATAGGTTCACTCGATTATAAGTTCAGCGCATTCCGATGATAAACTATTGTTTAATTCCTGTTATATAATATAGTTCTTGCAGCATTGATTTCAAAAATATATAGAAAAATTATGGATTTCTTGTTCTAGGTCCTTAGTTTGTTGTGGAACTTGGCACATTCTGAAGACCTGCCTACTGAAATAATGGATCAAGCACTTCAAGCGCACCGTGCCATTTTAGATTACTCATGTTCTCAAGATCGTGATTCGCAAAAAACAGTCTGGCTTGAGCGCTGCGTGGCAGAAGTCAAGGAAGGACGTTGGGTGATACCAACTCTGAAGCAGATCCGCGAAATTTGTCGCTTATACGAAGAATCTTTCACTCACACGGCGAATTATGGCTCTGTCAACTCTGGTTCTGCCGGTATGGGACCTCATCATCACATTCAAGGAGGAAGCAGCGGATTGTACCCGGGTCAGCATTCATCCAAGGGGCCCCAGTCAGCGCCAAGGTTTGCACAGCTTTCTTGATGACTGTCATCTTTGACGATAGTTGTCATGATTTTGGTTTAATCGTTTCTTATTTCAGACACGAGGTCATCACGCATTTACATAATTCTCACTCGCTGGTTGTTGAGGTTGCAAATAACTTGGAAAAGTACATGTCAGAGGCCAGAGAATATCTGAAAGGCGAGTCTCGAGTGAAGCTGTATATTTTTTTAATTTCTTCATCTTGCATTCGCTAGAATTCATGAACAGGTGATCATTTTTAACTTATTGCGGCCTTCTGTTTTATTTCAGAACATCCGGAAATTACGGACCCAACGGTTTATCACGCTGACGGAAGATATAATCATAATGACCAAGTGAATGAACGCCTAGATTTTTTAAAATTTTTGCTGAAGGAAGGTCAGCTTTGGCTGGCTGAGCCGCAAGCACAGAAGATTTGGAGGTGCTTGGCACAGGAAGGTATTTTCAGCAGCGACAGAGAAGCTTGTTTCAAGTGGTTCTCGAAGCTAATGGGAGACGAACCCGATCTGGACCCGGAGATCAATCGAAGCTTCTTCGAAACTGTCATCCTTCAGTTTGATCCCACGTTGCTTACCGAAAGTGGCATGAAGTGAGAATCATTACAGTTTTTTTTTCTTCGAGTGACTTTTTCAGACATTGCTGCTATTTTTAGATGTTTCGAGCGATTTTTCAAGTCCGTGAATGCCAAAGAACAGAAGTTGATCCTCAAGCGACGGAATTATCAGATGAATGATTATGATTTGATCGGAATGGATTATATTTGGCGGGTAATTCATAACAGTGGGGAAGAAATCGCCAACCGTGCAATCGAACTTCTTCGGGAAATTCACACTAATCTAGGGCCAAAACTTCAGGTATAATTAATTCAGATCTTCTTGTTCGTTCTTGGTTTCCATATTTTGCGTATGCATTTCTCAGGCTCAGCAAGTCCAGCTTCATGAGGATTTCATCACGTCCTGCATGGATAGGTTACGTGCATTATACGACACCATTTCTATACTGATGACGTCTGACAAAGATCATGAAAGTGATGTCGCTTCGAAGGAGAAGCTTACCATGGAAGTTGTTCGTGTATGCCGTGTTCTCAAAGTGCTCTACGAGTACATCGTCCACTGTGATTACGATTACCCTGTGGATCGGGTTTTCTTGCCTCTGGCTAGGTATATATATTTTTAAAATTCATCTCGGGCGTGGCCTACTCGTATGTCAGCCAGTTGTTTAAATTGCCTTTCTGATCTAAATACGGTAATCCTGTCGTCGCTGTCGAACTCAATTGAGATTATGCAAGTTAGAAAAATTAAGGTGATATTGGTGTAATGAGTGATGAAATCATGGACTGAGGGAATTTGGCTGGTGTCGAAAATAACTCCTTCTTGAACCTCACTGAAGTTTTGGAATGCAGAAACCTATGATAATTACGGATTTCCTGATCGCGAGTTGTAATTTCAAGGATCCCGAAGATATGAGAGCATTACTGCTAACATGCCTTCTACCTCGGGTTTCGTGCTTTCGAATCGTCTCTCTTTAGAAGGCAGTACACTGTTTTTTATTATAAATACACTAATGTGTAACGTATTGAGACGAAGTTTCCTGATACTGATTCTACTCAATAGAGCGTATCGAGGTAAAGCGGTCACGCTGACGACACGTTTCCAGAGTCAAAGTCGTGGAACGGAGGATATTGAAATCTGGTCGCACACCAACGATTCCTTGGGATCCGTGAGGCGACAGATAATCTCTCGTCTGAAAGCTCAGCCCGCCCATACCAGGGTCGAACTTTACCTGGGTGGCGAAATCTTAGAACGAACGGACGACAGGAAGCTGATTTCTCAAATTCCTATCCGGGATAAAGCCGTGAGTTGTGTTCCTTCTATCGCCTCGGATTCCTTTTATTCATCGTACGACCAGATTTATCGTGATAAAGGTAACTGGAATCGGTCTTGTCGTAATCAAGTTAGGATTTTACAGCGAGGCCCCTAAATGCGGACTTAATTGGTGCTTCGATTTTGTTCCTATGTCGAAACGTCCGCATGCCGAATCAAATTTTCCCATAGACTTCATATTTGATAAGTTATCCAGTTCATCAAAAAAATTGGGAAATAGTCTTCTGAAAAATTGAATAAATTATTTCCCCAACTTCAAGATACTGAAAATAACTGTGCAGAGGAAACCATGCACGATCTTATCTTTTGTCATGAAATGGACCCCAAAAAGAGAGAGCACAGGTCTTGCTACACTGTGCACAGAAATGATGGAAAAATCTGAAAAAGAAGCACGAAGTTAGCCTGTTTTTGATGGTGAATTCGAGTAAATTCATAAAAATATTAATTTTTTGTGGATATGAATAGTTCAATTCGTTCAAGATATCAAAATCAAAAGAAAGAAAAATGTCGATTGTTCTGGAAAATGTCGGCGAAGTATCCGTATCTCGAGACATTGCCCGAATGTCGGGACAGATTTCTTTGAGTTTCCAGCGTCCTTCAGTAAGTCGAGACTCCACTGTACTTCGCAGTATTCTGTGATTAGGTTTTGATGTTTCGTCCTTGCTTGATGATTGCATTTTTTCGTTGTTGCAGCATTTAACTGGGAAAATCGTATCCGCCATGCCGTCATCACCGGATAGCTCTTCGGACAGTTCTGGAGCCGGTGGTGCTGGAAGTCCGCAACACAGCGTTTCAGGCGTTGTTCCCGGTGAAATGGAGCCGAATTTGTCCGCCGAAAAGGCTTTGCCTGGTTATCGTATGAGCCAGAAACGAGAATGGACCGAATTTCTTTTCAAACTTTGGGATCTTGGCGCGGCCTTGGGCAATTCCGTTTTAAGGAATTCAGCCTGTGGCGTTTTGCGATTGATTCCCCCGGATGAGTCCATTAAGGAAGAGCTTGTGACGGCTTGTGCTGAAATCGCCGCGAAGAAAGAAGCGAGAAGTAACGTCATCAGTGGAGGGCATGAGTCGCTTGAAGAATTTTACTTTGGAAGATCCCCGAGCCAAGTCCTTTACTATTTGGAGGTGAATTAATCTTTTATTTTTTAGATTTTCCATCAATAGAATATCAGAAACTGGGATAATGCTGGTTATTTATATTGCCGAGGATGGGATTTTTTTACATGGTTTTCGAATCAGGGCCATGGTCACGAAGAGGTACTATTTTTCCATTATTTATAATATTCAACATCACGTGGACCGCCTGAAAATTCATGAACCGGAAAGTAATGGGATAACCTAATTTCTACGTAATGCTGTGTTTTTTTTTTTTTTTTTTTTAACCTGAGTGAGCAAAATTGGATTAAAACAACTAGAATGTCATTTTTAGAAAGTGAGTGAATCATGATTCATCCTACACGAGAAGAGGGCTTCGGGCTGCTAAAACTCGTGAACCAATCCTTGTACTCCTAAAGGCCGTTTTACCCTTGTGGCGAAAATGTTGAATTTCTTGTTCACTTCGACGGTTGGAGAGATTAAAGCGAAGGACCCTGCTTAGGCTAAGGCTCAGAACGAATTTGTGAAACAAATTTCTAAATAATTTTTAGGTAACTTACGCACTCCTGATTCCTGCCGCTATCATGTTGAGACCAGTGACAGAACTAGCAGAGAAGTTCCAGCGTGACTTCGTGAGGGCTGGTGGAGTTTCGGTCATTTGCCGGCTGTTGACCGACCCGAACTTCATGGTGGTGCGTCCAAAATTTTGAATCTGATTGTTTCTAACCTGCATTTCGATTCTAAAAATTATTTTGTTAGCTTTTGTTAGTTTCATGTTGTTCTAATGTATTTATCACTCACTGGATAAAAAAAAACTGATTTTTTCTGATTTTAGGAGGCGAATTATGAGGTCGACGGATCTGCATTGAAGGCAGCTTTCCAGACAGTGACGAGACTCGCAAAATTGTTGTTCACGACCGTCGTTCACGGCCTGCTTTCCCTGAAATTGCCACTAGAGGAAACGCGTTCCCCTCGGAAGATGGAGAAGCTTCGCCAAGCGCTGTCTTTCATTCCCAACCCGACATACGATGTTTTCATTCGACAGGTCAGACGCTTTTCATCATATATTGCGTTTCCCCCTTTCGTCTTCCTCGTTTATGAATCCATGCTGAACGGATCCAGTAATCCGGATGAGTCTCTTGTTCACAGTAATTTGAGCTCAGCTTGCTGTTGTTGAACTGCTGACGTAAAGAGGTGTTTTAATTTTATAGCGCAGTATTCAGATTTTTAATAGAGGGATGATTGACAACTTTATTGTGCGAATTGTGTTATGAGTTATGACGAAACAACATTTTCCTTTCAGGTTGCCCGGGAGCTCGGGGAACAAATGCCGGTTGAAACTTCGCGGGTGATCCCTGACGAGAAGGTTGTGTATGCCTTGATCAAGTTATCATGGTGTGCTGCTTACGGGCGTGTGGAGTGCTTTAAAACGGCGACTGCTGAGACGATGAAAAATTTCCAGCGGGAATACCAGTTGAGAGTCACGGAGGCGGTCGAGTTGCAGCGTGATCAAGTCGACGACGATGATCAAGGACAGCATAATAGCTTTGATTCTTTAAGCTCACGGGCACCTGTGATTGTCGGCGCCGACCAAGATGATCTGTACTGTAAGTATTTTATTTTATGTTTATTTTTTTTAGAAATTTATGTTCGAAGTTTCTGGGGAATGTGAAAAAGTTACATTTTTTTAGCATGAGTTCTCTTCTAGGTTCGAAAAACCAGTTTCTTCAAAATTCTAGGCAGATTCTTGATCGGAATTTGCATCTAAATCAGAAAACCAAAATACTTCTTATGGAAAATTTACGTACATTTCCTGTTGCATACCCTTGTAGAAAACGATGAAGTTTATAGAGTACCCGTGGGATAGAACCCTTTTTCTTCCTTTTTTTCGTTGAATTCAATGTGTGACGTGTTTTGCGGACTTATTTTTAACTCGGTGGCGCTGAGTTTAAAATATTTCTAGTCTGAGTCATGCGCATTATTGGAAATTTTATAAGACGTGTTCTTGGATGAACAGTTTTCAGAATATAAATTTGTATTGTGTCAAGAAAGTTATTGTAAAATGAAGAAGGTATGATGGATTTTCATACTTGATTGCAATATAATTTCACACTGTGATCTAAAGGTGCATCTGTTGGATTTCCCATGTGTGCCCGTGAGGATATAGGAGCCCCACCATAGCATGGTGGTGCTGATTAGATTCTGGGTAGCATTTTATATAAATGAATTACGATTGATTTTTTGCTGGTTTCATGCTTTAAGTAATTTTTTTAGCCTTCGCGACGCATTTGCTGTCAATTTTAAAGCATTTCTGTGCGTCTCCTTGGTAGCATTTGAAGATCATTAAGATGCCTATACTTATACCGTATTAAATTGTTGAACGTTGTGTACTGCCATGAAATGAATTTTTTGTACGTTTTTTGACTCGGTACAGTGTTGGCTGCCCTTTGCATAAAAAAGCGAGCATGGGGTAAAGATAAAGTGCATAAGCCAAGTTGGAAAAACCCCAGTTGAACTTCCCTTTACCTAAAAATTGGCTTTTGTTTCATGTACAATTTCACAATTTTCTCATCCGTTCGTAAAATTATTCATTTTCGATGTAGTATGCCGAGAGGCACTGGAAACACTGACTGTTGCATTGGCTGTGTGTCCTGAAAACCTGGATAAGCTCATCTACGAAAACGAAATATGGCCGAGCTTTGTGATCGACATGTTGCTTTTGGCCCCGATGAAGTGAGTGAATTCACCTTTACGGTCATGCGGGAATACTGTACAGTATTTTCTATTTTACAAATTACATCGGACAAAATTAATTTTTCGTTTGAAAGGTTTGTCCGGATCGCTGTAGCCGAACAAATGTCGTTAATGGCGATGAGATGTTGTTCTGAGGATGCTCTGGTGAAATTCATTCAGCCAACGCTGTTCTCCGTTCTACACACATCAACGGTTACGCATCATGATGGCATTTCACATGAGTACTTCAACGTAAGTTTCGCGTCGTCGTGTTATTTTTCTGCTCCATTGCCTCCCTGCAAGAGGAAGAGAGCGCGCGATTCCTGAACTAACGCGGGGCAAACTCACCACCCCTGTGTGCAACACGAGATCAACTTGCATTGCTGCTTACGATTTTCTTGTTGCCTTGGCTACTGGCTGTGTTCAGAATTATCAGGTAATTTCCGTTCAGTTATGAATGTGTACATGTAAATTTCATGGGCATTGGTTTGCGAAAGCGCTTGAGATCGTGGTTTTGATGTCGTGTCGAATTTCGGAAGGCTTCTTGAAGCTCTTCCAAATCATATGCTAAACAAAATGTAGATTTAAGTTTTCAGCGAGTTTTGATTCGATCAGGAAATAAAATTCAACCTATCTTGCCGAAATGAACCAAGAAAACAATTATTGAACTAGTTTAGTTCTCGGAAAGGTTTCCCGTAGAAGAATGGTGCTTCAACATTTGTTCGACGCCTTTTGGATCTGTCGGCCACAAAAAACTTTGGTTTTCAAAACCTTATCTAGAATATTGTCAGGGATTTTCCTAATGAATGTAGGCAAAAGAATGAAAAATTCTGTTGAGAATGCGCTCATAGCGAATGACGCCGTCATTCCTGAATTTCCAAAAAGTACCATATAAGACTTCTCAGATCATTCTGATCGGTATTGGATCTTCATTTGTACGAAGGGAAGCTTTTCCGAACAAATACAAAAATATGCTATGATTAGAAACATTTTGTTTACCCGCTTAAGAGAGTTGAAGCGAATATTTTTTGTAACTCGATATTTTGTAAACCTTAATATGGGATTATCCGTTGTTCGCAGGCAATTGCCAAGCTTATTACGGATATGTTCTACTCCGAGAACTCGTCCCCGAACGAAATCAATGACTGGGAATTCGCCTTACCTGTTGGACCCAGGTCTTCGAAGGGTTTCGTTGGTCTAAAAAATGCCGGAGCGACGTGTTACATGAATTCGGTTATGCAACAGTTGTTTATGGTCGAGCCCGTTCGTCAGGGTATTTTGAGTGCCGAGGGGGCCATAGTCGATCCCGATGAAGATTTCTCCGGCGAAGACATGCGCTCCGATTCCATCGGGCCTGTTGTTTCTCTGGAAAGTCCTCAAGTGTCCGAGGATCTGCAATCGCCACATCGAGGACAGAATCAAATGACTGAGTATAACATCGGAATTTTGAAGCAAATACAGGCGATCTTTGGCCATCTTGCCGCATCTCGACTACAGTATTACATTCCGCGTGGACTCTGGAAGCAGTTCAGGTGAGCCTTTTTGTGTGATACAGTATTTTATTACTGCTCTTGATACTGCCTGATTTTTCTTTCTGAACCACCTGCATTCGAGATTATGTAATCATCGCTAGCGGATTGTTGAGTCGCAGTGCACTTAACTGAGATAAATGAAAAGAATCTTGCACGAGATTCAAGTCTCGGTTGGGTCTAGTTTTATTTTACATTACGTGGTTAATTTGATTTAATTCGGGGCGTGTTTCTGGCTAAGCTAATGATTCATGTGACACCTTTCCGACTATTCGTAGTCTGACGTTGAAATGGGAAAAGAACGGAGGGGTTTACCTGGACAAAACCTTGCCTCAATTGTTTTTCTTCGAGTGGATTCAGCAAATGAAAATTAATATTAATGAAAATTAATCTGGCGGAGAATGTGAAACACATTCGTCTCATTCAATTTCTCAAGGATCAGATCATTTTATTGATTCTTCTCGTTCATTGGTTCTCAGCTTATCATGTCACACAAGTGGAAAAAAATCAGGAATACTAATCTCATGCGCTGTAAACGGCGGACAGGATTTTTTCAAACAGCTCTACGCGTATTTCAATTGATTATACTGTATTTCATTGATGAAAAAGCATGCACTGAGCCTGTGAATTGAAGACATTTCCAATAATTGGATGCCATCGGATATAAGACGAAGTCGGATTTTTTCAGGACAATTTTTGCGTGAGGAGACAGACGAGGGTCTTTTCTTCGAAATAAGTACTGTACTGTATTTGAGTAGTTGATGTGTTGTGAAGAGATGAATTTATATGTTTATGGGAGGTCTTTTTTTCTCATACTGTGGAAAATTAACGGCGTTTTTTTTCATGTTATGGAAGATTTAATAGATTTTTCTTAATTTATTTCTTCTCCAGAATAAATGGCGAGCCTGTAAATTTACGAGAGCAGCACGACGCTGTTGAGTTTTACAACTCCCTCGTTGAGTCTCTGGACGAAGCATTGAAAACTCTCGGTCACGAACAAGTCATGTCCCGTGTTCTGGGTGGTTCCTACGCGGACCAGATCATCTGTCGTGGGTGTCCCCACCGTTATTCCCGAGAAGCCGGGTTCACGGTTCTCATCATCGACATTCGGAACCATAGTAATATCTACGACTCGCTCGAGAACTACGTGAAAGGTGAGCTGTTGGAAGGAGCCAATGCGTATTATTGCGAAAAGTGCGACAAGAAGGTGGATACCGTGAAGCGGATGTGCATTAAGAAGTTGCCACGAGTCCTGACTATTCAGCTGAAGCGGTTTGATTACGATTGGGAGCGTGAGTCGCCGGTTAAATTCAACGACTACTTCGAGTTCTCTCGGGAATTGGACATGGAACCCTATACTGGTGAGTTCTGTGATGCTGATTAATCGAGAGACGTTTTAAACGAAATTTTCGTGATCCTCGGCGTCGGAAATGTCGGCAATTTTTTGTAAATGGTTCAGGAACCGAAAAATAAGACAGGGCTTATTCTAGGTTATGTTATACCGGTTATATTGTCTTTCTACCGGCTTATTTTTAGGTTATATCATACAGTATTTAAAAAAGAGTGGCGAATCAGCTGAATCCTGATTGGAATGTGTGGGGATTATAGATTCAATTATAGCTTTGTGTAATCATCAAGCTGTATAATGGCAAAATAATGAGAGGATTAGGCGGGAGAATCGGTTGATTCTACTGATATTCTTTTGTTGTAAGTGGGATAAAGGTACCCTACCGTATCTTTCCTCTGCATCACATCCATGAAAACATTATCGTGGCTTATTTTTGTGACGGTAAAGCATATTAAATATAGTAGTTTTAATGGCACAATTTAATGTTTGAGAAAAAAAGATATTATGCTTTTCCGAAATTTTCTTTTAGCAGGCCAAAATCATTTCCCTGCGATCTTGATGTTTTCAGTCGCAAATCTTGACAAATTTTTACGCTGTTGCGTCACTCGGAACATTTAGCCGCGAATTTTTCTCATCGATTGTGTGTTGCAAGAAATTCAGTGCAAATTCGATTTCATCCTCGATTTGAAATGAGAGCAGCAAGATTAATTTCGATGAAGCGAATGTTGTACTAAGATCTTTGAACTCATTCTAGTGAGAGGTTTGGCCAAGTTGGATGGCGACGTGATGCAAGACGAGGATGACTTAATCGAGGAGACGGAAGGAGGAGGAGACCGTAGAGCTTCATCAGATACCAGTCGATACAAGTTAACGGGCATTGTTGTTCATAGTGGGCAGGCATCAGGCGGACACTACTATTCTTACATCTTGCATGGATCGAATCCTGCGGCAGCCAAATGGTACGTGACCTTTGTGCGTAAATGAATCATTTGTTTTGGACAGGGCTTTACAACTGATAGGACGGATGACTCAGTGCTGCTGAGGTGAAGTTGAGCTTTTGAATGAGCAAGTTAACATTGGTGGAGAAATCAAATGCAAATGTGACTGAAAGAGTATTTGTTAAAATATTCTAAAATATGTGTGAAGAAATGTAGGCTTGTTTCGAGTTGAAACCATTGATGCATTGCTAACAATGTCTCGTCGTGAAAATTATACGATTCAGAAAGAGTTTGAAGAGTCCTGGGGTTGAACCTAGTTTATTTGGAAGGAATTGCAGTTTTGAAAGAACGATTCACAATTTTAAGTGAGGTTATTTACAATACTACCTTTTTTTGAAATTTGCCACTCTGATGCTTGCCTTTTTTGCACTTGCTCTACCGATGTTGCTGTGGCAGAGATGCTAATTGACAATGTCTTTGTAAGCGAACATTTATTTTCATGAACAGAAAAAAATTCTGTCTCGGTGGTTGTTGTTCATTTAGAAATAGATTGCCTTTTTTAAAGAATGGTTCCTGATGATTCCACAGGTACAAGTTTGATGACGGCGAAGTTTCCGAGAGTCCGATGAACGACGACGAGGAGCTGAAGACCCAGTGTTTCGGTGGAGAGTATGTTGGCGAAGTATTTGACCATATGAACAAACGGATGAATTGTAGACGCCAGAAACGTTGGTGGAACGCTTACATCCTGTTCTACACGCGACTCGACGAATATAAGCGACAGTGCGCGTTTTCGAATAGGCACCAACAGCTCAACTTGCATAACCTTCAGTATCAGTCGCATTATCAAAGCGTAGCCGGCCGACATTTTTCTGAATCCGGTCTCGGCGATGACATGGATTCCATTTGCCGCCCTTTCTCTGATATGACTCTGAGTAAGTTGATTTAGAGGAATGATTGATTCGTTTTAATTCGACGTTTTTGTTTTCAACGCATAGATGAATGTTCTCCTGGTTTCCCTAAAATGCCTGCGCCGATTGAGCGGAGCGTGAAGTTGGCCAACATGCGATTCGCCCACAATTTGAACCAGTTTCAACCGGAATATTTTGTTTTCATGAAGCGTCTGTTGTCGTGCAATTTGTACGTGCCAATTTCAATGCCTCAGAATCAAGTTGGGCATGAGGGAATGCCTCTCGTTTCCTTCATTAAGAGGATTGTGAGTTTTGTTGTTTGCGGGATTGTTTTTGTAAATACTCGATAAAAATGCCTCTAATTCCGGTATATTTTTTGCTCTCTATTTTCGATATTCAGGCAAAACCGGACGAAATGGAGGAAGCCATGTTGACGACGACTGTACTCGGATGTAAATTCCTCATCCGAGTTGGCTTTCGAACGAAGAAGTCCACTCGTGGGAACGCGAATGACTGGCAAGATATTCTGAGCACTGCCCTGAAGCATTCCCGGCGCGCTCGCGAATTCCTTGCCTACAACGTGTTGCTTTCGCCGATGTTAACCCGGAAGGCCGTGTAAGTTTCTGAAAACGGACTAAACGTCCTAAAGAAATGCTATCCAGCTCAGAGGTGGCCAAGGCCACATTGTGGAGATGAAGAGTACTTAGTGGGCCACAATAGACAGTAATTTTTGAGTTTTTAAATTTTCCCATTTTAAATTGAAAGTTTCGAATTTAATTCAGTGCTATGCATTGAATCACAAGTAAAGCCTTATAGAATTTTCGAAGGGCGGAGCAACATTTTAAATTTTTAGATTCATCTTTGAATATGTATATAACTTATGGATGTAGTATCTCTCCACTTAGCGTCTGTCTCCCGCTCTCGCATGAAACTTGTTGCATTCCATGAGGTCCAAGCTCCCTAAATCGATCAATGTTGGGTCATTGGGGGTCCACTTGTTTCTGAAGGGATTGATCGGGTGACACCTGATCGACATTCCCGGCAGCAGTGTTTGTCGAAATGAACAGAATCGCTGTGAAATATTGAATATTTTCTCCAAATTTGAATAAGACATTGTGGATTCCGGCGTTTGGAAAAAAAAAAACAGGGAATTAGCCTTGACAGGAATTTTTTTTGTTCTGTCAGTCAGTAGTTGAAAGATAAAGCGAACGAGTTCATGCATGCTGAAAGTGATTATACTGTAAGTTCTTCGACTGTAAGATTTCGAATGATTACGTTGGTGGAGGAACATTAATGTTTGTTACGCTTGATCTCGTATTACACATATTAGTGTTACCCATTTTAGCATTGGCGGAACTTCATGTGTATTGTTGCTTCTTGACATGTACCGTTTTATTTACTAGGATGTGCGAATTCCTGTTGGAATGCTCGACGCAAGAAGTGCGTTCAGCATTCGGCAAACTCATCGCCGCTCTCGCTCACGCCTGCCTCGTGATCGACGGCTCTCAGGTGATCCACATAGCGAAAAAACCGATCGAAAGTTCGTCTAGTGAAATTGGCTCCCCGGAAGACTTTGCTGCAGTCCCGCTGACCGGCGAGATGACCAACACGTTCCTTCTCAAAGCCTGTCTCAGCATGTTGGACAAGGAGGTTCCGGAACACGGACGTAATCTGAGCCAGTATTTCGGGCTATTCCATCATTACGCAATGCTTGGAACGAAGGATAAGCTCCAGCTCTTGAAGTTGGACGTGCCGCGTCTGTTTATGCAAATTGCAACGGATGAGGGTCCTGGTCAACCGATAAAGTATCAATTTGCGGATCTGGGGAAATTGTTTTCGACGGTATCGCTTCTTGTGCGCTCCTGTGATGTCTCCTCTCATTGCCAGAGCGCCCCTAATTCAAAGGTATGCCAGTGGAAGTTTTATATTTTTTATTTTTTTTCAAACATGAATAATAGTTCTTCATCTTTAAAAATGAATGAGTACAGTACGATGCTACAGGAGGCAGGGGGATGTGGCTTCCTCACGAAATTATTGTACAATTTGTATTGCCTTTGTGATTAATAGTAAATGAATTACACAGAATTGCTCTGGGAAGACCAGAATAGGCAGAATTAACCCTTTTTCCCCAATCACAAAGGTGAAATGTGTTTTCAAACGACACCAGAACTGTTCTCTCTTGTCTCCGTTTCCCGCCCTCTTTAACCCAAATTTCACGAGTACACTTTTTGACTCTTGATACAATCGAACTTCAAGGGGCCAGCAAAAAACATCGACTTCCAACCGACAATTGCATTTTTTTTGTGGGGGAGGAAAGAAGAATAGCGGGAAATTCTAATCAATAATATTCAGCACATACAATTATTTTATTAGTTGACAGGATGCTGAACTTCGAGGCAAGGGTTCCTATTCCCAATTAGTCTTCCATTTCCTTCCGAAAAGCATCGTTACGTTTCAATAGCTACGTTTTTTATAGCTTTCCTCTTCCCTGTGACAGTAAAGTAATAACCAAGAGGCCTCCAGAAAATTCGAGTTGTCAAGGTTTGAGGGGGAAACCTTTGAATCAGGGAAATTTTTAATGTATTGTAATCAAGGATCTCGAACAGGGACTGTAAAAATAATTCGACTTGGGAAGTTCCGAGTTATCGAGGTTAACCTTTATTATCGTCTTTGCAATTCCTCTGCGTTTTGTTCGCATAAAATTTCATTTTTGACAGTCGCTGTTTTTATGTGTGTTTTGTTCCAGACTGTCAAGCCGTTGGACAATGAGTATGCCGAAGGCGAGCCTGTGATGCAAGTGCCTCCTAGCATTGTCGAACTGTTGTATAGCAAGCAGCAGTATGTGAAGAAGATCATTGAGGATGCTCACGCATCCGACGATACGTTGCGGTTACTGCAGTTCGCGAGCTGGGAAAATGCTAGTTTTTCTTCCCTCGTGCTCGGTGAACTGTTGTGGCAGATCGCGTATTCGTACAGCTGCGAATTGCGTCCGTTCCTAGACTTATTGTTCGCCATGTTGACCATAAAGGACACGTGGCAAACTCATAGGATCCATAACGTGCTGAAAGGCGTTGGTGAGGAGAGAGAAGGGCTCTTGGATACTATCCAGCGGTCCCAGTCGCACTTTCAAAAGAGAGCGTACATGTGCATCAAGTGGTTGGTGTCGTTGTTTGAAAAGTGTACGATAGCTTTCGAGATGCTGAATTCTGTCGGAGATTTCAAGCGAAAGTGGAACTCGGTCATCAACTGGCTTCATAAGGAGCTGGAAGGGGTAAGTTATTAGATCGTACATGATGCTAATTCATGAAGGGGGCCCAGAAATTGGGATATTTAAAAAAACTCGCTGAAAATCGCCTTGCCTTTGAGGATAATTTTAAAGCACAACGAAGTTAATTTTTCAATTTGAATACCTTTTAAGTGATACATTTGTAATCGACGTACTCGAGTTACTTTTGTTTTTATTAATTCCTCCGGATCTTCACGAAAATTTGGAGTGTTTCATCATGGTAGGTGTCTCTGCTGGTCACAATAACATTACTGTTCAGTATTTTGAACTTCCATTCATCATCTGGTATTGGCATGTGTGCGAATGAACATTTTTGCAGTAACATACTTGAGTGGAATTCTTCATGATAATTATGAGTTTTCCAAGATTTTAACAACTTCATTCTTCTATTTTCTTTTTTTCCAGCGGCCACCTTATGCAGGCGGTCAGTATTCGTACGCAGCTTGGTCACCACCGGCACAGTCGAACGAAACCTCAACGGCTTACTACGTTGAACGATCTGCATCTGCGAGATTGCTGCTTGAAAAGGCGATGACGCTCTGCCCCGAGGACGTGAGTGATGAATTTAGTAAAATATACCGAGTTGCTTGATGAGCACTGGCACGAAGATTTGAAAAAAAAAAAAAAAAAACATTCAGCAGCAATTGATGTAAACTTTTATTTGAATTTTCGTTCGTGGTCATAAAATAGCTTGCGGGAATTTCACATAAAATTTCTTAGAGAGGTCATCTGAAATTGGATTTTGATGAAGGCTCCTTTTTGGGTAGACAGTAGAATCACAACCAATTCCGGATTTCAAGTTATCAGCGTTAATAGTTTTTGTGATTAGCGACAAATTTAAAATTGGACACTTCACTAAATCACCCTTTAGCTGTAGTGTTTTTTTTTTTAAGGAAAATGAATGAAAACGTAATTTTTACATCACTATTTTTCCTGGTTATTGACCGTCTAAACATCTTTTCTTGCAGAAACCGGTTCTTGTTTAAAATTCTGATCTTCTCAGTATTTACATTGTCTCTTCAAAACAGTTAGTGTTGAAACCTGTGGAACACTCTTGTCAATCTGAACTGAAAGAAACCAATTGTTGAATCCTTTTAAATTCCTTGCTCTATGAAATAATTTTCAAAGTTATACAGGCATTCCACTAATATGTGTTTTTAATATGAACCCACGCGTTGAATCCGACTCAACTTGTGTGGACCTCAAAAAGCCTCAAAACCTGCAGTCGAGTTCCCTATTCTTGAAGTCACTCAAACGCAACCATAAAAGAGCGAGTGCGATTGTACTGGGAGTGACTGAGAGCGGAGCGGTTAAGAGTTTGGGTCCGGCGAGATGGGCCGTCGCGGTTTTTTCTCGACGTGCAGAATATTTTAATGGTTGCTCGAGAATTTTCAATTAATTTTTTTATAATTTTACCCTATTTTGGTCGATGAAGGAACCCGATACCGAGGAACAAAGTGAAGAACCGGCGAGTGACACTCCATTGATCGGCGGTGCCCCGGCGGAAGACGAGGAAGACGTGGAAGAAGAAGAAGAGGACGAGCGTCGCCCTCAGTTTTCCTTCACGGTCATCACCTCGAAGAAGGAAAGACTTACCCCGGCGCTCTTCAAGGAACAAAAACATTTCAACTACTCCTTGACGGATTCGACACCGTTGCCGTCGACGTTGCCACACTCGGCCGTGCTTTCGCCCGTCCTTCCCTTCAATAATAACAACAACAATGCCGACAACAACAACGCGCCTGCTCGGTTCTCGCAGACAGGCAGAGGAGAAGAACTGGTAGAAACTGATAGACCAGAAGTTAGGTGAGTGTGTGTTCCTTGGAAAGTTTACATTCAGGTACAGTATAATGGTTTCATTGTTATGGTGTTGTTTGATTAAAGGAATTCGGTATATATCGATTATTTATCTTTCATGCTCAAATTTCGAACTGTTTAATTGCTGAATTACCCTTTTCATTTTTAAGTAATCATTTAGCTCATGACTTTAATTTAAATGATTAGTGGGCGAGGCAGTGTCACAGGAGAGGAATACCAGTTATGAACGTGTATGCTTACATAAATTTCCCGTATTTTGAAATTTTTCTGTCTACGTGTACTTCTGCTCATGTGGAACTCATGAAGGGTTTTAATTTTTCAATGTAAACCCCCTTCATGAGTCATGATTCTGGTTTGATAGTTATTTTATTGAACATGATTAGTTGAAGTATCCCTGTCGCTCCATGCATAGTGAATGTGACGTGTTTTTCATAAGCATCTGAAAGAAAAGCTAATTTATCTTCGTCAAAACATCTTATCCGCAGCTATAGCTGGCAATTTTTAGCGCAAAATTTATTTTTAACATAATTTCCAAATAATCTATCACGAAACGCAAGCATCGGCTTAAATGAAATTCATGTCGTTGAAAAAAAGTATACAGTATTCGCGAAACTTCTATTTCAACCACGTGTACGCAGTGTCAGGTGGATTCTTACTGAAGTTTCTGCGGTTGGGCTGCCATTTTGACTATTGATTATGTAGGAATTATGTAGTTTTTGGGGCGTCAGTGGGTGGCTTTTTCCCCGATACTGTACTGTATTTCGGTATAATGATTTATTTTTCCCAAGAAATCTACGTACAGTATTTCGAAGAACGATTTTCGTGATTTTTCCCAGCGAACCGTGTAAAAGACCGCACCAAAACGCAGAAACTTCAATGCTATCCAGAGTATTCTTCAGACAAATTTTTATATATTTGAATTGAATGAAAATACATTATTATTGAAATTTAGGAAACGAGGGCATTCCTAAAATGATATATTTTTGTATTTACTCTCTCCCTAAAATGGCGACTTGACCGCTTAAACTGTAGAACAGTACAGTACTGCATTTTCCCTTTGGGCATCAATCGTACGAGAACTAGGATGTGATTATTTCTTTTCCCTTAAGGAACATCCCCATCAATGTGGAAAGTCCGGACGGGTCGAAGTGGTTGATGAAAGGAGTGCTGTTTACGGACCCTCCGCCATCGCCCACAGAACAGGAGCCCCCGAATAAATGACGGGCTGAGTGACAGACTTGTCTGCTTGACTTTTGTGGATTTTAGTGCTTAATCCACTGCATACTCGGCTCTCGCGTTGCGCCATGATCCCAGCTCTTCGTTTCGGATTCCCCCCCGTATGTTCCCGTACAGAAATCCCGATCCTCGTTTATTATTATTTTGTTTTTTTCTCATGAAGAAAATGTTCCGGAAGTCGTCTGGGGATATTGCATGTGGCACTTGTGCTTTTTTTTAAAGGTTCTCTTGCCTCTTCAACACCCGCACGGGCAGGTTTATTTCGCGTTTGGGCTCGTTTTCTACTCGCCTTGAAATACTTCCCAGCTGTATAAAATGCTTTCTGAACTTATTTTTCCGAATTAGAATCGAAAGTGGCAACGCAAGCGCCTTTTTCTAATTCCGGAAAAGTTACGTGAAGCCGATTTTTTCGTATACGAGATGCGTTTAAATGTACGAGTGGTTCGAACTTGAAAATATTATGATCATTTAGATTTCATTCACGCGAGTTTGTTACTGTGATTTTTGCGAAATCCCGCGCGGGTGTTGAGAGTGAGAGAACCCAAGTTTAAGCTGGAGATTCTGAGCAGCCGCCGGGTGACTATAATGTGTTCGGCTTTCGTGCTAGTCTCCTTGCCCTTGGTTTTCAAGAATTCAAACTTTTTTTCACTCCGCCGTGAATTTAGGGGCAAAACCTGTTCGAGAAGAGTGTCAAGACTTTCGAGAAGGGAAATACGATAAATGGAGCGCTAATCAATGCGCGTTCCTTTGCCCGAATATTATTTTATGGTGAGGGATTTTATCGCGAGCTGGAGGTCGAATCTGGGGGATTCTGCTGCTGTGAGCTTTAGCTGCTATTCAGGAAGGAAAAAAAAAAACTCGAATCCCCGTCGCTGGGATTTGCAAATGCTGTTGAAAGGGAAAAAAGAACCCCGGGATTCGAATCCAACTATTTTTTCGTGGCGGGCGTCTGAAACGGCGGAAGGGTTCCTAGCTGAGAGAAAAGTTTGAATACGACTGCGTATTGTGGACAATGGGGTCGTTTATTGATACAATTGTCTGTGGTAGGGATTAACGTGTGTGTCCCTGATGAAATCCACATGATAGGGCATCACTATGATATTTTTTGGTTTCTATGCACGCACGTCACGGTATACTTCCGTTTTTTTTCCTCCGTAATTATTTATGTACTCGGTCAACTTTCAAAACTGATTCATTCCGCCAAAATGACGCGTCCCGATGACGACTCGGAGAAACGATTTTCTCGCTTATCCTGAAGTACCAGTTCGGTATTTATTCACTGTTATTAAAATCCCTTGTATATCTCCAGCAACTCCTGCAATTTCCAACTAGCGTGGATTTTTTAAAGAATAAATTCCAGTCGATGTTTCCTCGTCCTATTATTGTACATAGATGTTCCCTGAATTCTGGTTAGGCATCGACTTTGGTAAAGTTAACATGAAAGGATTGGAGCGACACCTACCTAGCGTTCGACAAGTTCAGCTTGAAAAGGCAGTACATTCTCACGCGTCACTAAAATCCTGTGATTTTTTTACGAGGATCAAGAGCATGAAGAATGTGAAATTTTAAAATGTATTTAATAGTGATAAGAATGCTATGAATCAGTTGGGACGCTTTCTTTGAGTCGTGCATCGGGATGTGTTCAGTTTTGACGAAAATTGAGTCATTGACGAGTATGACCCATGTGAGCGGGACGAAAGCAGCGAGGATGTGTGAAAGATTTTTTCACGGGCAACGTGATGGAGCTTCTCCGTAGACCAGGAGAAGGGTGATGTTTCCATTCGCTCCCTGTTTTTTTTTATTTATCTCGCGCTTAGAATGAAAGTTTGTGCAATTGGCTTTGAGAATCGAACTTTTTTGCTCTATTTTCCATCCGATGATGATGATGAAAGGACGAGTGCGAGTTGCGTTGTAGTTTTTATTTTGTTGGAACGGCTTTTCCGCTTCCCGTTGCTAGTGACTGGTTACGCGAAGAATGCGCATGGGGGGAATTTTTTTGTTATATGGAGGAAAGCTTTCGTGTTGATGGTGTGCTTGTTGCTGGGCGGCGAGGCGCCCGCAATTTTTTTTCGGTGTCGGAGGCGAGTGATCATGGATCGGAGGGTATCGAATGTTTAGTGGCGGTGCGGCGGCCGGGGATTGGATTTGAAACATGGTTCACGATCTGTCGCAAAAAAAGTAATTGCCTTTTGCCTCCTTGAATTCCTGTGGACATTTTCGCTCGTGAACACCCGCAAATTTTTACGATTATTTTGTTGTTGTTTTCAAGTGATGGAAATCACCATTTGATTGTCATTGTTGATGGGTGACATCTGGTGGTGATTTTTAGCTGCGCTTCGTTGATTTCAAGAACTGTAGTGCAACTCCGTTGTAAATTAGGCTAAAATGTTATTTTTGTATCTCGCAAGTTTTGTGAGACATTAACAAATTAAAATTACAGACGGATGAAGCCTTGCAATTTTCCGATTTGTGTTTTCTCATTATAAATGCGAACTGATGGAGTTGAGGTGCAATCAAATGAATGTTGTCTTTGAGTAGGAAAGAAATGACGAATAACTTGGGAGAAATAATTACCGTATTAGTGATTACCAGTGATCATCAATTTATGCTTTAATTTTCTGTGAAAATGAGTTCCAATTGTCTCAAGGGCTCTCAGTTGTTTTCTGCTTTTCTTTTTGCAATTGGTACATACAAAATCGGCTCGTTTCCATCAAAACTTCCTGTCTGTTAATCCCAAGAAAAATTAAGAAATCAAAACTTCCAAGAAATGTCTAGCAGTTTCAAGGTGAACGTGTTAATTCTCGGATACTTCCATATTTACATTGGTTAATGACTCCATAGAAGACATGATAAATTTTTGTGTTATTTGCCGATTGAATTGTTCATAACATTCATCTCGGCCAAATAGATTGAAATATATTTGATAAACCGATCAAAGCTTGCTGAAACTGGATAGTCAGTCTGTCATGAAAATGATGATCTAGATATGATTTGCAAAGCTTGAGAAATTTCTTGAAAGTTTTCATGATTCAGTCCGATACTGTCCAAGTAAGTGAGATTTCCTGCCCAACAAAAGAAAGCTTGTTGGTGTTCACGTCAAATGATCCCGCAGGTTGGAATTGATACAAGAATTCGCTTCTTCTAATATTTTCGAATGTGCTTTCGCTTTTTATTTTCAGACATTGTTCGGGTTTATTTTTGTGTGTGACCTTGGTATTGCCTTGAGCTTTTTGATTTCAATAATGTCTCACACCATGACGGTACGCACAACCAGGACGACCACGTCCACCTCTTTTATCGTTCTGAACACGGGACATTTCAAGACGGGACCTGGAATCCTGAAGCTCCTCGAAACGGTATGATAATTCAGAATTCAAATACAGTACTGTAATTATTTTCTAAAATCCGTAGACTGAAGCTTACTACAATATTTTGATATGACAAGGTGATTTACTTACGTTCAAGTTTTCGCTTTGCTTCTTCAAAATTTCAACCTTTGTCTGCTGGGCGGGTTTTTGGCGAAAATCCTTGGTATTTTGTGAAGAATACACGCCATTTCCGCTTCAGTTGTCTTGGGACTAAACCTGCGAAATTTCGTTTGGCGGAAAAATATGAAGGTTGTCCTATTTCTACGCAGTGAAGAAGAAAATATAGTTTGACATTTTTTTTGTTTACTGCAGTAAATTAATTATTTGTTCTCGCTGGTATATTTATATGGATATGAAGAATGTTCCTGCCATCTTGATCCAAACTAAAGCGTTGAAAAAATTGCGTTTTTTACAATCTTGAAATTTAAACTTTTCACCTTTAATGCCAGCTTAGAGACATTGATAATCTGTGCCAATGTTGTTTCACTTCCCGAAAAATTTAATTTCTCTTCGTATTTGAACCTTGCTATCAGCGAATGTTTAGTCTTCCGAAGTATTGGAATTTCTTCATCGCAACGACAGAAAACGCTTAAATTTTACTTAAGGTAGTTTTGTTTAGAGGTTATTCTTTCTATGGCTTAAAAATCCCGTTTTTCAAATTCTTTTGAATTGAATTAATGTATTGTTTTTTTTCAGCTTATTGGAGCCACGATCATTGGCATAGTAGCGTATTACTTCGACAACTATCGGACGTCATCGCAACTGTTCGTACCTGAGGTATTTATGCTCATAGTCGCAGTGGCTGCGCTGGTGACAACGTTCAGCCTGTTGGTTAGTTGTTTGCTGTCGATTCCGACAGCGGGCATCATGCCAACGACTATGTTCGTGAGTATTGAATGTTGAGTTCATCTCGCTCTGAGTTTTCGAGTGATGTTCGTAAGATGTCGCCCGAATTGGTAATAACGCAGATTGAATATTGACTGTGTAATACGGTGATGTTTTGATTGTTAGATTTTCCGCTTCTGTTGAGGAAATTTGCGATCTGACCGTTGATGGAGTTTCGGAACGTTTTTTTTTTCTGTGAAAAGATGTCTCCTTTTGGAAGCAGTTTGAAAGTTGCTGTTTTTTCAGGAATCCATGTGGCACTTCATCATCATGGTGTTGTACGTTGCGGCTTCGGTGGAATTCTTGACGAAAACGAACAATTATCGTGGAGGCTATTCTGGGAACACTCGTTTGGACGCATACTTGGCTGCTGCTGTGAGTGACGCATTGTTCGATGTGAAAATCCAGCGTTAGATATCTTCTCAAGTAATTTACGTATACAGTACTCTCTCTACAACGAAATTTCAAAAGATCAAGGAAAAATTCTTTGTAAGCACGATTGTTGTAGAGAGAGTCTAGCTGTAGCAAAATTGTATTTTGAATAACTTTTGTGTCGTACAGCTGAACCTCTGTAAGTTGAATTTGAATGGACAAAAAAATCAGTTCTGAGAGTTTTGGAGTGGGGAAATGCAGCTTCATTTGGATACATTAACCAACACAAACTCTGATCAAATTACTTTCACAAGACATTCATGAATAAGGAAAATGATTTGTATTTTGTTTTGTTTTGATCTGCCGCATTTCTTGTAAATCGGGTTTTTGGCTTTAAAAAAAACTAAACTTTTACGTCTTGGTGGTCTTCAACTCGTACATGTTTTGTAGCCTGGTGTTTTAATATCTGTCTGGATACGTTCTAAGAAAAATTTCTCCATCTTTGTATTTCCAAATTACAGTACAAGTGCAAGAACTTCCGCTCTAGGTTGAATGCGGTATTTATCCACCGATTTCGCTGACGATATTTTTTATGCAGATTCTCGGACTGGTGAATTCCGTATGCTATCTCGGAAGTTTCGTGCTGTCCATCCGTGTTTACAGACGTCTGTAAAAAGCAATGCGAAGCTGCTGCCGTCACTGCTGAAGAAGAAGGCGAACTGGAGGTGTTGCGAAACCATGCATAGATACGTGCCAAGCTGTAATTATCGTCCTATGCGCGAGTTCATCAGAACCGAAGCCCTCGCTTTTTTGTCCCGTAACGTGTGTATTAACCGGCATGGAATGTTGCTTGGTAGGATCGCGGAAATCTCATGCTTCTGTGAAGGTGTAGAGTCGAAAGCGTTAATCTTTGGTTACCCGCAGTGCTTTCAACTGCCTGAAATATTGTACTTCCTCTTGTGGTAACAGTGGTGTTCATTCGCGAGTGCTGAGACTGCTCGCGACACGCAAAGCTTTGGGTATATTATTGTGCTTAAAGGTTGTAACAGTTCCAAGCATGTTTGCGCTCTCAATGTGTCTTAAGTCAGCTTTGTTATTTTTCGACGTGTTTTTACTTATTGCGACGCCGAGTGCCAACTAACGAAAGACTGCTGGCTTTTAAAACTGAAACTTGTCCAGTTCATTTGAAATACTGCATTAATCTTGATTGGGAAGTGAGTGCTGAACTGGGAACAGCTTGAGAAAATATGAAATTTTTTCTCTACAACTGAAACAGATGTTGATTGCGAGCTTCTTTCCTTGACCTCCGTTAGGGTTGGAATGATTAGAAAGCATTTTGAAATGGAGGAGTTGTCAGTTTGCAAAAGTGAAAGCTCCGTTATCAGAAGTTGGTAGAACTTCGCATTGAAAAGAAAACTTTTGCCATCCAATGTCCGCCCAATTGCAACAGATTTTTTTTTTTACTTTTCTGTGTGTGTCCGAATTGCGGGAGTATTCTTCGCTACGTCATTCACCTCAAAACAATACGCGCACACTATTGCAATTTTGGACCAGGAGAAGAGAACCATCGACTGTACAGTACTGTACTTCGAAACGCGTACTACGAAGGGATTTTTTTCTTCGTATTGACCTGATCCAAGGATTGATAATAAATTAACATGCAACCTTGAAATTCCCCGATTTACTTGAAAACCACTCCAAGTATCGAACTCGCTCAATTCTTCGATTATGTCGATTGATTCAACCGAAATTCAGTTCTGTTCAAGTCCTACTGGAACAACTGCCACGTGACCAAGAATACTGTATCTCATCTTCACTTCAACTAACGAATGGACCTGTCCATGATGGTTCTCAGAAATTAGAATGGCCTCACCCGGGGTGAAGAATCTTTAAATCTTTAAAGCGTCAAGTCTAAATTAATTCGATCGACAATCCGATTCTACTTTTTCATGGCTATCCGAGGAAGAGAGCCATCTCGCAACTGGTTGAGAATCCTAGATCCTGGCATAGAGTTAGGAAGAATTTCAATTTTTCCCGTCTAATACAGGTAAAAATATGGACTCCAGTGGGACGTTGACACAGGCAAATAATTTACTTCCACATCCTCCATTATGGTCTGAATTTATGGTTTACCATTTAATCAAATACTGTACACGATTCATGATCGTCAACTTCAAGTTTTTCAAGTACAGTACAGTAGTTATCCGGGCCAAAACACTGGAGTTTAGAAATGCGGTGACCGCAATTAGATCCTACATCTTGAAGTGGTTTTTTTAATCTCAACAAAAATGCTCACTTTCCAATCCCTGAGGTTTTTGTTAGACCTAAAAATTTTATAACCTGTGCCTACAGTGGGACCCTGCAAAACAGTGCGGAGGATAAAATAGAGAATTAAATTGAATAACTTTTTGTTACATGATTCTTCCATCAGTCCGCATTCTAATTCGTACAATCGCATTTCTTCTCAATAGCGATTAAAAGCAACGATATATTTTTTAATATCCGAAAAGTTGATGTATTTTCAAGATACCAGGGACGAACGAAGGGAAGACGTTTAAAATTGGGGGGATTTCTTAGCTGGAAATATTTCGGATTGCAAAACAAAAAATCCTTTTCAACAGGTCTACATTCCCCACAGAGCTCTTTTGGATTGTAGTCTATGCAGGGAAACCGATCAAGGTCATTAAGCAAGGTTCACCTCTATGCTCAGATTCAGGACCAACTTAAAATGATGATCATCATACTGTAGCAACCAACCCTCTGAACAGTTTTCTGCCAGGATATTTGGGATGAGCAGCCTGGAACATTCTTTTAATAGGAAGCCCAATGAAAGAGCACATCTCAGGTCATATTCAGTGGGCGATGAGACCATGAAATCCAGCCTATACATTTAACCATGTAGTAAATTTGATCAATCCTTCGGCAATCTCGGAGATCAATTCTCTGTCCGAATCGCAAAACATTTAGACTGAGCATTCGATCAGGACATTCCTCCATTTAATTAGTGATTTCGTAATCGTGTACAAAACCTCTCGGAGGTGTACACCGTTGGACCAGACTTGCCCTACCGTTCAAGTCCAGCCTCACTAGCAGAGGTCCTACATTTTAATGTCAATTCGTGCGCAACATGCAACAAAAAGTTCAGCGAGTCTTATAGACCCACGAGGTTTTGTCTACAAGCGACATTTATCCGCGAATGCAAAGTCCTACTCCTACCGAACTAGACTACCATGCAACAAAATGAGAAATATCAGCGCTGAACATTTTTATTTTTCGCTACTTGAAAGACGAGTGAACTGACGATTCCACTTTGATCGGCGAAATGACGTTCAGCTCAATTCATCCCATATTGCAACATGCCGAACAGGAATCGCAATCCCCCCAAACGGAACAGACGAATACAACGGAACAGAATCCACATCAACGCCGAACCAGAATTAACGAACTTAACGGAAGAATAAGGGGAATTGGTAAACCTCCGCACAAAAATAACCGCTTAAGACTGCTCAGCTAATTTCTCGGCCTTCTCCACAACTTCAATGATTGGGCCGACCATGTAAAAAGCGACTTCTGGCAGATGATCGTATTGTCCACCCAAGATAGCCTTGAAACCCTGCCAAGACAACAGGGTCAAAGGAATGTCCCTCGCAAGACTATGAGAAATTGCTTACCTTGATAGTTTCCTCAAGCGGAACCAGCTTCCCAGCGTGACCAGTGAACACTTCAGCGACTTGGAAGGGTTGCGACAAGAATCGCTGAATCTTACGAGCGCGAGCTACCGTCAACTTATCGTCTTCGGACAATTCATCCATACCCAAAATTGCGATGATGTCTTGGAGGGATTTGTAGTCCTGAGGAAAACGAATAAATGCTTCAGCTCAACAGATGAAACTTCTGATCATCCGGTTACGCAATTTATTTTTCACATCCAATCTTTCGAAAAAAGATTGAACTACCGAAGTTACCGAACGGCGGTAAATAATGAAACCTCGCGATGACCTACACTTACATTCAGGAACATTACAGTGGCCAATCAACAGTTATTTCAGAATTGCAGTGAGAAATCAAATGTTAAGATACGAATAATGAAAACGTGTTCGCTTATAAAATCCAACTCCTGCAGTTCGGAGGGTTTACACTTCATGACAAATGGTTTACTCTACAAGCGTTCTCCTGAAGTAAATACATGTGCAGAAATATGGGTTACCTGGAGGATTTTCTGTACGCCACGGGCAACATCGTAGTGCTCAGCACCGATGATGTTCGGGTCCATGATTCGAGAGGTGGAATCCAATGGATCGACAGCCGGGTAAATACCAAGTTCAGCAATAGCTCTGCTCAACACTGTGGTGGCATCCAAGTGAGCGAAAGTTGTCGCAGGGGCAGGATCGGTCAAATCATCAGCAGGGACATAAATAGCCTGTACCGACGTAATTGACCCCTTCTTGGTGGTTGTAATTCGCTCCTGCATGCTACCCATGTCGGTGGCCAGGGTTGGCTGGTAACCCACAGCAGAGGGAATACGACCCAAAAGAGCGGACACTTCGGAACCAGCTTGCGTGAATCGGAAAATGTTGTCGATGAAGAGCAACACATCCTGGCCTTCCTTGTCGCGGAAATATTCAGCGACAGTAAGCCCAGTCAAGGCAACTCGTGCACGCGCGCCGGGAGGTTCATTCATTTGACCGTAGACAAGCGCTACCTGAAGATATTACAGATACGTTAATGAAATTCTACATAGAAAAAGATAAGGATGATTTACCTTCGAGGTTTTGTCCTTCAACGAAATGACACCACCTTCAATCATTTCGTGATACAGATCATTGCCTTCGCGAGTTCGTTCGCCGACCCCAGCGAACACGGAGTAACCGCCATGAGCCTTCGCGACGTTGTTGATCAGCTCCATGATGAGTACAGTTTTCCCGACTCCGGCACCCCCGAAGAGACCAATTTTCCCACCCTTGGCGTACGGGGCAAGCAAGTCCACAACCTTGATTCCAGTGACCAAGATCTCTTGCTCAACGCTCATCTCGGTAAATTCAGGAGCCTCGGCGTGGATAGGAGCGAAGTGCTTGGACTCAATGGGGCCCCTTTCGTCAATGGGTTCGCCTGACGAAAGAAATGTTCGTAGTAAATATTTGACAAATTAACAGCAAAACACTGTACGCATTTGAAAACCCTCTTTCGCACGAGTAAGCCGACAGGAGGAGGGTTTCCTGGCGAAATTATGTAACCCTTCAGAATCTGTGCCCCCGAAGCATGAATATTAGCAATCGTGGGCGGTAAGCAACGAGGGTAGTTCATAATCTCTTCGTCACTTACCGATCACGTTCATGATGCGTCCGAGGGTTTCCGGTCCAACTGGAATTTTGATAGGATCGCCGGTATCGCGGCACTCCTGGCCCCGAACCAATCCCTCGGTACCATCCATGGCAATTGTTCGCACAGTGCTCTCACCGAGATGCTGGGCAACTTCGAGGATGAGCCTTGGCTCACGGTTCTTGACCTCCAAGGCATTAAGAATAGGTGGCAAGGGGCCATCGAACTGAACATCTACGACGGCTCCAATAACAGCTACGATCTTGCCTGGCAAAGCTCCGGAAGCCGCTGGGTTTGGCTTGGTCGCAAACTCACTTCGTCCTGAAAAATCACGAAGTTACTTGAAAAGTTCGAGAACAAACCACGCATGGAATCTCACGGTTGATCAACGGAGCACTAAGTGCTTGTACGCTTGACGAAGGGACAACTGGTCTAAGGGATGCCGCAGAAAGCACGGGCTTGGCGGCTTTCGCCAACCCCGACACAGAACGACCCAGCGCGAACATCATCTTCCTGTGCACGACTGACCTGAAGAGAAGCAGCTGAGGACTTCAGAGAGAAATGGCGGCGTCCCCGTCACGTGATCGCGGCGTATTCGGAGTAATTTCTGTGTCACCGGCACAAGTACAACCCCTTCAAAAAAATTTACCCTGTCGCAACACGAAGGCAAAACTCGATTATGTAGATGTATATATCGGTAATAATGATCCAACCTTCACTGAATTTTATTATTCAGATTTAGTTGCTAGTCCAGCTGATTTTTTCGTTATTTCGGTACTCCTAAATAAACTTTAGACATTTCCTCTGCAAAGTTCGTTCTTCTGACTGATAGGTGTCACCCTTCTCATGATATACAGTACAGTACAGTATTCTTAATTTATGCTGTTTGAATCAACCACAGTCGAAGCAGGAAATTCACTAAATCTAAAATTGTACAAATTTTGTTAATTTTGTACGGAGCCATTTCCAACATGCTTAGGAGTCATTTAGTGACAAATTCGTTTCCTCCAAAGTTACACCTCCCATCCGCCTTCACTAATGTGGATATGCATCAACCTGGAATTTCATCATCAAATCACTCAGCCTAATCATGGACAAATTTAGAATCCTTCAATTCTTCGCACGCTTCCATCCAGCTTCAACATTAACAATCAGATTACCTCAGTCGCCCTTTGCTGCTATAACAAGCTCCAACTGCTGGAAAAGTTCAGCAATATTTTGAACTAGCTTACAGCAACCGAATACAGTACAGTACTTCTTGTTCATCTCATGGTCAATAAATCGAGGACCAACTTCGAAAAAAAAGCCGAATGGATGCTAGCTACGACGTATCAAAACCAACCTCAAATATGAAAACACATGTACTTACAAACCTGAACCAGGACTACATATCAATTGTAACTCCAGGTCTACAGCAGAGATTTTCTTACGTCACAACTCACCAAAATTTATTCGACTAAATTTGCCACAAAATCGAAAATTCGAAAAAAAAACAGGAGGTAAAACAATTCAAACAAAACGATTTAAACAAGGTTTATTGCAACAGCCAGTCATTACAATTTTAAACGCTTTAAATTAATCGCCTGTGCATCATTGCCGGCACGTTTTTTAGTCGGAGCCACACCTCGAGTTATATCTTGGAGAGCATCGAAAAACTTCGTCGAGGTTTTCATTTTTTTGTCTGCCTTTTCCGATTTCTTCGACGCCTAGAAAAAAAGAACAACTTGAAGGAATAGGAATGTCGAGAAAACATCAGCTCAATACTCACGAAGGAAACCATGCCGCCTGCACCAGATTTTATTTTCTTCATCGCAGTTTGTTTTTCCAGCTTCTCCAGAGAACGAGACTTACTCGATTGTTCAAGCGCAGTTTTCTCACGATCAGCCTTCCGCTTGAATTTCTCTCGTTGAAAAACTTTTTTCTTGCGTCGTTCGCGCTTCTTGTCCGTTTCGGAACGCTCATCCACAGCCTTCAAATCTCCTCGTTGATTATCTAATCGATTCAAAGAAACATTGAAATGTAATCATTTCATTTCAACATGAAAACAGGAATGGAAACGCTTCAATGCTTGAAATTGAAACATCAGCATCACAAATTTTTTCTTAAGGACTGATCAATTACATTCGTGGATTTCTAGGGTGTGCAATATTTATATAATCGTATGACATCAATTAGTTTCCTATTACTGATATCCGTGATTAAGCAACCTCAATTTAATAATTTGATTATATCAACCACGTAAAATAATTAACTTTTTCTCTCACAAATGGATCTAAAAAATCTTCAATTCTAAGCAAACAATATTCAAATTGATTTATTAAGCAAAACTCGACCGACAAGTTTTTGTCCAAGTACCGAAAAAGGCGTCAAAACATGATAACATAATACAGTGGATAGGATATAACTCCTGACACAAAATTGAGCATTACTACGATGAACTGCAAAGTTTATCTCGATTAAATTTGAATTCAACGTTTTACACCATGAATACCATATCAATTCAAAAAATAATCACCTTGCACTTCTTGAGGTGCAAGAAGAGCCGCGTCCGACACTGATACCGGCGCAACTTCTTCAACCGTCACAGCTGGTTGATTTGAAACAATCTTCAACTCTGGTTCAACCTAGAATCAACCATGAAAACACGTGAATAGATGAGAGAATTCAAGTTTCAATACTGAACAATTACCGGTCTGGGTGCGAAATGATAGTTTGACAGAGCATCCAATTTTCTGAAAAGCGCATCCATCGATTTCCGGATTTCCGCTAATTCGGGACGCTCGGCTGGATCGTCGTCCTTATTTGATGCATCCCGCGCTTTCAAATATTCCTAATTATATAGAAAATTATTCGTCGCTTATCTGGAATCGGGTGATGTACTGAAGGATAGACCTTTTCATAAATCTCCGCTAAACTGATCTTGCTTTTCTCCTGATCAAGCACCAGTTGTTTTTTGTACTCGAAGGGATCCTTCACTGGCTTCGCTTTCCGCTCCACATCGTCCCAACTCTTGTCCTTGATTCGTTGCTTTATCATGCCCTCCAAGGTTTTAGAAACAACTTCGGTGATAACTGGAGCTACATTCATAGCAAATGAACACATTATTTCAATTGATTTTCAACGATGGAAATATTAAGACATGATGTTTAACAATTTTTAACCAACCTAAAAAAAGCAAACTGCTTAGCTTTCAATCATGGGTTGCTTTTGAGATTCTTGAATAAATTTTTTTTTAAATTACAGCGGAGTTCTCAAGATAGGAATCCATGTCCAACAAAAATGACTAAAAGTGTTTGCTGTCGAACCTAACGACAAAACTGGAAATTATTGTACTGTATAATTATTGCGCGCCGAACTTTTACGAACTTCTGAGCAAGATCACCACCTACCTTATCGAAATGCATTACTACGATGAACTGCCAAGTTAATCTCCATAAAATTTCGAATTGAACGTCTTATACAATGACAAGCACGTCATTCAGAAAAAGAATCGTAATTAACAGAAATGCTTCATTAGGGTAGAAAGATGAGTTTAAGAGAAATCGATGTACAGTACATGTATTCTGTGGGAGTTTTTTCCATGAATAGCTAGTAAACTAGAATATTTTCACTCAAAAGCAAGACGCACAAATAAAAATAAAGACGGGAGTCTTAAATTTCATGTTAAAAGGAGAGAATAAGTTGAGAAAGAAAATTTTAAATTCGAGCCTTTCATATACAGTACAACATGATTAAATCGAACCTTGCTTTGAGACATTATCATAAGACAGGAACTCCTCCAACAAGGCATTTGCTGGTCTATTCGTTGCTGAGCTTTCTCCCATCAGTTGCCACGGCTTCGCACTAACGTTTTGCTCTTCCAGCATGGTGATTTTCTTTTTGAGTTGATCCTGCTCTAGTTCGAATCCCGACTTGGGCTGGTCGTCCGGTGCATCTGCTGGAAAGGTGAAAGTACTCCCTTCGTTTTTCTCAAAATTGCTAGGCTCGTTGCTTTCCGCGAAATGAACTTTTTTCTTCTTTGTAAGTTGGTTGCTTTCGTCGGGCGGAGGGTCGAAGAAATCTTCGTACTTCGCATCTTCTCCCTGAGACGATCAAACGATTTTTTCATTCAAGATTTCAGAGAACCAGTCGCGATTACGCAGAGAACCAACGGAATACTCGCATCGCTCGAAATTTCTTCGAAGTAGTCGATTCCGTCGTCCTCATCTTGGCCTTTCCCATTCAACCGGGCTTCATCGAGTTTATCTTGGATGTCGAGGTATTCATTGACCTGCGACAGCTTGAAAAATCTGAAATGGGTTCGTCATCACAATCAAAACGAGGTCGAAAACCCTACAAACGAATCAATGTAAAAAGAGTTGTCTAGTTTCCATCCTTAGGCAGGAAAATACGCTGCAAATTTGCATGCTCGAAATTACTCGACTTTTTGTTAAACTTGAGAAAAATGTTCAAGCTTCATTGTAGCATATGCGAGTGTTATTGTTTTTATTACAAAAGTCCGCAGCTCTCAGCTCTTGAAAGGAATCAGAAAAATTATCGCTGGGTCACTTCAATTCCGAGCATGGATCGCAACAATACCCTTACTTGTCGTCGATTTCAGAAGGAACGATGCGATTTTTCAGCGTGATTTTCTCTGTTTTCGAAGAACTTTCAAAGTCTTCGCTGTTGCCTGAGTCACTGTCTTCTTCTTCTTCTTGCTCATCGTTCTGATCATCAGCCTCATTTTCTTCAGAAAATTCTTCGTCTGTATCAATCGCATCATCAACCAATTCGTCAGCGCTCTCAACATTTTCATCAGCAGAATGAACAGAGAAGACGGCATGATCCGCGCGTGAAACTATGCTGGAAAGATGTGTGAAAAATTGGTCGATTTTCGCGTTCGATGCAAGCTCCAGTTGTTGCCAGATTTGTTCGTCATCGAAATCTTCGATTTCTAGACGAGGAAGGATTCCCTCCTGGCTCCCTGACACCATCCACGAGTCGTACAGCTGTTTCGTGCTCGAAATCCAGGATGGATGCCAACCCGACGGCGGGCTAAATTTAGAAACGAACAAAAAATTAAATCTTCATAGCATAAATACGTAAAAATATCTTTCACACCCGCGAAAATGAGCACTTGAAATTTCGAACAAGCAGGAATGACCCCTGCTTTAAATATTAAAATTTTCAGAGAAAAAGCCTACCTTATGAAGTTTTCCGGCTCTTGCACAGCTGCGTCTAGAAGTTCTGAAGCGGAATCACAGCATTTCTTTTCTGCTGTCTTGGTCTTTTTTTGTCGCCCTTTATTCTTCATCTTCCGCACTGCTTGATCACTGAAATTTTAAAAAGCAAGAATTGTCAGTGTTCACGTCCACGCAATGACCATCGAACTTAAGAAAAAAAAAATTGGGACGAAAAATTTCGAGCGCGTCTCAAAACGGCGAGGCTTAAAAAGGCAGAAAAAAATTCAATTGGGCAAAACAATTAAAGATATCAAACCTTAACATTTCTTGTCAGGTATTCTGCCAATCGGTTGGATGTTAGTCACCTCAGAGGGTTTTGAATAAATTATTGTATCTAAGTTAATGAAGTTTTAGGCGCCACTTGATCCAAGAGATAATCCTTTTTTAATGCTATCCTGTTCTTAGCCCTTGAATTTTGACATCGCAGTTAGCCATTTTCTGAACCCGCGCAGTTCTGGGACGCACTCAACTGCCCCGATATAGGGAAAAAACTGGAATCGCATATTTGAACAACGGTTTCATTCCACTTCAACTGAAAAATTCAGTTCATTCTCTAATGCTGCGGCACTCGGTTCCATGATTCGACTCCGCAGCCACTTGGGTGACAGAGGTTCTTCTGGAAGTGTTTCATTAACAGTTGCAATAGCGTGAGAGTCCGAGTCGACAGATGGTTCATCATCTCCATCTACAACGCAGAGAACCTCGAAGTCACTTTCTTTGGAAGAAGAGCCAATTTCGCGAGAGGCGAGAATTGCATCCGCACAACCGCCCAATTCGAACAAAGACTCAATGCACTTTTCTTCTGCTGCCAAAAGGTTTCTGAGTTTTTCCAGCTTGGGCTTCAGAGCAGCGTAGAATTTGCAGCCCTCTTCACAGTAGACATCTGCGAACATATAAAACCTCGTAGGTGAAGAAATGCGGAGCAGTTTGAAAACATCACAGGAGAAAAAAATGGTCTTCGAATGGGGAACTTCTGAGATTTTTCTCGTTGAAAAATATGCGTACACAAACCAAAAAAACCGCAAGAATAAATAAGGCTGAAAACCTGACTTAGAAATTCAATTCGAGTTAGGAACTCAGAATTAATAGATTTCGTAGTCTTAAAATCGGCCCAACTCAAAAGAAAAATCTTGACGAGATTTAAATACTTCCATCACGTCTAATTTTTTCAGGAGAATTTTTATTCTCAATGAAAAAGAACATGAAAAATTAATAATGTGAAAAATAATTGATTACTTGTTCGTTTTCAAGGTAGAAGAACTAGCGAGACAAACGCAGAAGAAAAAATACGTAGAATTTTTAGATTCTACGTACAGTATTTTGTTTTGGAAAAATACGTAGAAAATAATGTATCTTTAATTCCGGAAGTCAGTCACATAATCAATTTTCAGGAAACATTAATGTTTCCGGCGCTTCTGCTAGAACATTTGGAGAATTCAATCAACGTTTCTGAAAAAAATGTAAATTGTAAATGAAACGGACAAGATCAAAAACGTCAATACTTGCCTAAAAAATCGTGCGTTACATCGACCAGGACGCGGGAAAAACGTCGATCAATGATTTTCGAGGTCAGAAAAGCCAAAAATTTCTTTGTCGTGATCTCGGTTTGATTCCTTAGCGCTTTTTTCATGGCACCGCGACGGATCAATTCCCGAAATACAGCGACTACAGTCTCGGGTCTTTGCATCATTTTCTTTGTCAGCACAGTGGTCAAGGTCGCTCTGAACTCGAACGCCTTCAATTTCTTGTCAAAACTTTCTAGCTTCGTTTTGTTTTCTTTTTCCTCCACTTCCACGTCTCCGGGCTGGAGTTCCACCTTTGGCGGTTCTGGTAATGCACGGTGATGTCGCCATTTTTCTATCTTTTTTGTCAGCTTTTGTTCTGCCGTCATACGATGACGTACCGTTAGAAATCCATCGACAGATCCGACGACCACTGTTTGATTATCCGACTGCAAAAGAAAAAAGATCAGTTTATTTCCGATAATCTGGGATAATCGAAAATAGTGACAGGAAAGAAAGAACTCAACAGCTAAGTACGAAAAGGTGCAGGTACTTACTTTTCAATAATAATAAAAACGAAGTCTATCAGTATACACAATGATCTTCAGTCCCTTAAAATCAAGTCAAATTTGTTGATATTCGAAGACTTACCTTTACTAGCCTCGCAAAGGTGAGGTCAACGGTTATTAATCTGTTCATTTTTTTCACAATAAATTAACCGAAAAAAATTCGACCATGTCAAATCGAAAGACTTCAACAACCTAATTCTCTCTCACATTCGCACTTCTATAATTCTAGTTCTTCACTTTCCGTAATCGGTTGAAATAATGAAAAGCACATTTAAAGAATTAATGAGATACTAATCTCACGATGGGTTGCACATTTTTTGGCAGTTCCTATAGAATTTCCATTTGAAAGGAAACTGAAAAAAGAGTACTGCAAAAGCGTTTTTTATATCTTATGAAAATAAATTAATAAATAAAGCATTCCGAAAAGCTCAATATTTCAAGATTGGTAACAGGATCGCTTTGCAATGGAAAACATCGCATTTACTCACGGAGATCGCCAAGCTGAGAATAGGTGAAGGATAGTCGACGCTATGCCCGACGGACATCGTTGACGCGTTATAAAATGTAACATGTCGATCTATCGAACCAGAGGCGAACTGGTGATAATCTGACGTGAATGCTAAGCAAGTCACTGTTTTATGATGGTGTTGCAATCTCACGACCCTTTTGCCACCAGCCAAAAGGTCCCAAATTTGAACCGCATTTCCACCCGCGGTCAACACATAAGCGCCACTCTGAAAACACGCAACGGCTTCGACAGGCAACCCGGTGTCGATATCCACGATGCAATCACCAACACGTGAATCAATCAGCTTAACTTTGTGGTCATAAGAGCCCGATATTATCAGATCTGGACTGGTAGGATTAACACATCCTGCTCTGACAAAGTCAGTGTGTTCTTCGAAAGATTGCACGATAGCTTCAGTGGCAACGTCCCAGATTTTCACGGTTTTGTCGTCCGAAAAGCTTGCGATCCGCTCGCCACCTCCCAAGAATTCACATCGACGGATTGAGCTAAGAATAAAAAGAGACACTTTATTGCAAAAATATAATTCACACATGAAGCAACTGAATTTTTCCGTTTCGGCCAATACCAATATACAGTACCAAGCTCTTAACACGGCAGCATTTTATTATTACCACGTTTTTATGAACTCACTTTCTTGTCTGTCTGTCTGTTTGTCCGGATCAAATTTTGAAACTCAAATTTCACTCACTTCCCGACTAGCTATCAAGCTGAAACTTTCCGGATAGCCTAGAAACTGATGACAATGCAATCTTATGTGAAAAAATTAATTTTAAGAAAGTGAAATACAAATGAAATAGATGCGCACCAAGTCTAAGGTTATTTTTTGCTTTTTGAAAACGTGGTTTTTTAGATTAATTTTTTAATCTACTATAATTATTAAAGTTCGAGGATGAATATTTTCATGTCATCACACGAACATGACACGCGAAGCACTCATGCAATGGGAGTTACGGAGCAATACAGACATATACCTGTGCTATATTCCTCATAGCCCTGCACACATGGTTTTTATTTTTGTAGCCCTCATTTTAAAATTGTGGATAAATTTTATCTGACATTTCGAAAGCTTCGCGCAGGATATTTTAAACAGAGATTTTAGAAAATGAACCTCTTATTTCTTAACTTATGCAGCAGTTCTTGAATTAGGATTTTACAAACATACAATGCCATGGATAAATGCTGAAAATGACGTTCCCGACAGAACCGTTACATTTTTACAAAAGCAGACCGTCTGCAACAAAGCTTTTCCTCATCGCTCCGCTATCACCATGATTTCGCTTTTGATCATGGTATGAAAAATAGTGAAACTGAAGGGAAAAAATATTGCCGAGTTTCAATTTGCCCACACACATTCAATAAAAGCGACACTTACTTTTCGTGTCCTTTGAAAACTCGAAGCAGCGTCTTTTTCTCCACGTCGAAGAGTTTGACAACGCCCTCATCTCCGCCACTCGCTAGTATTTGCCCATCACCTCTAAACGTGGCTCCGAAAGCAGCTTCTTTAAACTTCGTGAATGTTTTCACAACTTGGTGAATAGCTGTATTCAACAATTGAATCTGGATTTGAATAGATGAGATTTCACGAACCAATTTCACAAATTTATAAATTCTGGAACGAACCTTCGCAGAAGAAGACACGGCAAGCACATTTGGTTCAGCTGGCGAATATCGTAAACTCTGGATTGCTCCAAATTCTTTGACCGTCACAGGTGGCTAAGAAATTCCACTATGTACTGAAGTTCGTCACTCATAACATTCAATTAAACTCACCCCAAGTGACTCCCAAAACAAGGACTCTTCTGTTTTGACGGAATGCTTCGACGGGAAAGCAGCACTTGTTTTTTTGTAGAAAGTCATCTGCGAAAAACGTTTTGAAGCAACATGAATACCATTTACCTACATCTTCAACTGAACAACAACATTAAAAGCGTAGCGCCTTTTATTGCTTGCATTCAACACACTCGTGAAAAATAAATATCCAAAACCGGAATACGGTACTCAAGCGGACTGTGCAAAATGCGATTTGGCCCCGAGATTTGTGATCACAACAACCATGATGCGATTGCCTCTTAAGTAGACTTCGTCCTTAATACGCGGTGTATAAAATGTGGATATTAACTAGAAGAAAAAAACCACCTCCACTCAGAATGGATTTTTTACTGAGGCAGAAAAAGTTACGGTACACTCCGTGTCGCCTTCTTCCTTAGAAACGACAATCGGAAGCCCAAACTTTACATCCGCAGGAAAGCACATGCCTGATTCGTCCGCACAAAGAACTAGTCGAACATCAGCGAGCAGCTTAGATTTTCCACAAGGCAACGTATCACCAACGACTACGTACTTTCTATCCGGAGAAAAAATTTCCAGGTGTTGCGTCACAACTTTGTCATTGGCATCCAAAACGCGATAAGTCAACTTCTGCGGCGCAGCTTCATTCAATTTAACACCTTTTGTCAGCAACACGTCAAAATTCAAACCCAACGTGCCCCTCACACGCAGCTTCTTCGCTTCCATCCAAACCCTATCTCCGTCCCCAGATTTTTCCCGCACAGGAAGTGACTTAAATTCCAGAACATTATTCACCATAGCTCCAACTAAAATAGTATGCTGATTTGTGTCCGCAACATAAAGCAAATTTTTGACTGCGTCGTAAGCAATCCCACCGAATTCTGAATTATGCGCAGAGGCATACACGGTCTTGGTTGCACCACCAGGCACATCACAAGTTTTGATTTTGTGATTGTAAGAGTCAGCCACAAAAACACAGCTTTTGGCGGAGTTCCAAGTAACTCCAAGTGGGTGCTGAAAACGAGCGTCTTTTCCGGATTCTGCGTCAACATCACCGAACTCGAACAGGTTTTTCGGATCCTTCGAACCACCCGCAACAGTTTTGACAGCACCTGTACTCAAGCTGACTTCCCGCACGGCAGAGCTTTCGCTGTCAGCAATATAAAGACAATTGGTTTCCGTAGAATAACAAATTCCAGAAGGTTGCGCAAACCCAGCACGATGTGGGTAGGAATTGTTTCGGATTTCCTCACAACCAGAGCCCGCAAAGCGAAAGGCAACCCCGGACAAAACGCCGTCGTAGACAATGATCCATACTTGATGAGAACCAGCCGCGGCGACGTACAGAACTTCATCAACAGATGCACTCACTTCACACAATTTCCCGAGAGATTCCATAGGATTTTCTTTGTACAGCATCTGGAGAACGGCGACATTCGGAGGAGGTCCAATGCACACGTCCCACGGCGCATTGAGGTTGGCGGATGAGCCACTTGTTCCACGGCCAGCGAGGGCCTCCACAGTCCCTTCGTTCAGGTCAATCCGTTTGATTTGATGATTCCCCAAATCAGCCACGAACAAATGATTTAGACGCGCGGAATAGGCAATTCCTTGAGGGTTTAAAAATGCGGCTTCTTCTCCAAAATTAGTTTTTATAAGCCCAGTCTCGCTGCATATCAGTACGCGGTTATTCCCAGAATCCGCTACGAAGATCTGATCCCCACAACCAACAACTTTCCCGGGAAATCGCACAATAGAGCCTGGATGTAAGTTTCGATTTTTAGCTGCTGGGGCAATAGATTTATCTGCACCGAAAAGTGTGCCCTTTGCTCGGTAATATTCTAACGCAACCGGAACGACGCTGAATAATGCGTCTTTCACGTTTTCACCAATGAATACAAATATAGGTTTCAATCCTGGACTCAGTAATAGGAGTGTTGGCCAGCAAAAAATTCCATTCTCATTCCACAGTTTATTTTCCGAATCGTTGATGACGGGGTGACCTATACCGTGTCTTTCTATGGCCGACACAACGTTCTCTCCAAGTTTCTCATTTTCAAACTTCCCGGAATGGATGCCAACCACTCGTAAACCGGCGGATGCGTCCGCATGCTTCGTTTCCAGCTCTTGAAGGACAGGAAGCACGTTCAGGCAATTCATACAACAGTAGGTGAAGAAGTCTAGTACGATCACGTTTCCCCGAAAATCATCGTCGACATCAGGGGCATTCGAAACGTTCAGCCATTCTGCATCAACGGGAAACACAAATTCAGCAGCTAGTTCTTCCTCGCACCATGACAGGTGCTCCTGTATTTTTTCCGTCAAACTGAAGCCATCCGAAGCATCTTCACTCGCGCCTTCAGTGTCTTGAGGTACGGGAAACAAGGATGCGCACTTCTCCAATAACTTCTCTCGCAATGCTAGACCAACATCAGAAAGCATGCCGGATAACTGATAATATCCGGAGATCTTTCAAAGAAAAAAATATGACCTATGAATTTGAAGAACAAAAAATGAAGGATTATCACTAATTTGCTATGAACTGCGGGTGAGTTTCGTTCTGACAGCCCCAATAAAATTCTGAACAGTTTCACTAAGCCTTTACCACAACAAGTAAATCCCGAACATGCGGTTTATAAATCTCACACACACTCGTATTCTTCTCCTTGAATTTCGTTCAGTACACCGGTTGCTAGAAGTGTTGTTATACCCGACAACTGGGTACCATACACATTACAGTACTGTATGTGGCGAAAACCCAATACATTACTGTACTTGTGGTGCACAAACCACAGAGTTCCACATATCCAGAAAATGAAACTCCTAAAACCATCCGCCCAGGAACAAAGCAGGAATCTCCTCGGTAGGAGATTCAGACAGAAAATTTAAGCTCATTTCCAGTTGATAAAAATGACCAGATACTGTAATTCGTGAGCTGAAGCATGCAAGCAATATGTTTTACAAGCAAAATCACTGAAGAACTGCCTGAGCACAAAAAAAAATAATTCGTCGGGAAGATAGGAAGGTTGCATAATATGAATTCCAATCATGTTGGAATTCCCCCATTATTTCAAGGAAACGAGGTCAAGATTTCTTTGCTACAGAAATCACGGGGCAAATCAAGGGAACAAGAAATTTCTGGAGTCAAGTGCGACATCTATCCACCAGAGTACTGTAATGATACACAATGCCGGTGATGCATTTCACATTCACGATATTCCAACTCGAAACCCTTGACGATACATTCTCCTAACCGTTGGAATATTGGGGTACTTCGAGTTTAGCATTACAGTTCGAACACCTTCACGCCTTGATGCAATTGTTTTTCTTCATCGTACTTCTCGGTATATATACGTCTGTCGTAAAAAGTACAAACAAAGCACTTCATCCTCAATACGTTTCCTGCACGCATATACTGTACTCGGCGACAGAGGACACACGCGAAAATATTTGCTCTTCCGTATAGTTGATGGCATGTTGGCCCAGCGTCTCGCTTCGCGCATGGCTAATTCAAAAATGGCCAAGTTCCCACCCAAGACCAACATAACGTCAGCTTTATCCAACAGATCAACAACTTCGCGTGCGCATGATCAGGCAAATATTAGCGCTATGCTGGTCGCACCCCGATTTCTGAATCCCTGAAGAGATTCACGTTGTGACGTTGAACACTTTCATTTCCCAGAAGGATTTATTTACGATTTTAAATCCTTTGAATATTATCAAGCTTTCACACAAAAGAAGGGACTTGTGCGCTTTAATAACTATGATTCCAGCGTTTTGTATAAAAAAAAAGTATACCAAAACTTAAAAAGCGCCGAACAATTAACATAGGTCATTCAATTTTCTACAGGATTTTCCAATACCGGACAAAGAATAATAAATAAAGCTTACTCAAGCGTTTTATAGAGACTATCAACATTTTCATAACCATCAGCAAATAAAAGATTTCAACTTTTAGAGAATGAAAGCTCGTTAATCTTCAGCATCTAAACCAAGCAAGTAAAAGTTCTAGAACCAAAAATGGATTAAATCAAATAGATGTCGCTGCTGTCATGTATACAATTTTCGGCTTTCGACGCATCAACGCAGATGATTCTGTACAGTGTACTTTGATTCCGCGCAATTCTACACAGCATTTACAAATAAACGGGAAAAACGTGGATCACACGATTACATTTTTTTTATTCAGAACATCGTTTACCAGGGAGTTGGCCAATTTCACATTTATCAGGGATAGTTGCAGGAATGAAGTACGAAACAGCAACACAATTGACTGAGTTCTAACATTTTGATCAACAGGTAAATTGCAAGGATGATACGACATAAATTATGCATGCAGTATTCAAATTTCGTGATATCTAAAACGCATTAGCCAATATGAGTCGTACAGATGAAGATTAATTAAACACCTTGTCTTAAACTTTGAAAGTTCATACAGTACGTTTTTCCACCTGCAATTGCCGTTCATACAGTAATGAAAGTACTGTACTGCATCATTTTTTGAAAATTCGATGGTAGCAATTTGAGCCACACTAAAAAAATTCAAATGTCATCTCTGAAATCAAGATAGGTACAATATATTGTACCGATTTCTTTTAAACTCAAGAAATCATAAGATCAAGATTTCTTAAACTTCCTCCAATTCTGAGGTACAGTTCCGTACCTCAAATGTAGACTACTTCACTACAACGAAGGCTTTTTGGGGAAAAAAGTGCGACCTGTAAACTAAAATATAATTGGATACTGAGAATGGCTGATATTAAGGTTTCTTCAAAGGAATTTTTTTTAGAAACCACAGTAAAGTTCGTTTTCATGGCTTCAACCAAAGAAGCAAGATCTTCATTTCTCCCCCAGAAACAATTCAGGAGCATGCGTCACGGAGGTAGATATTCCAAACGGGATTTTCTTTTTTCCTAATGCGTGCATCAAGAAACATGTTCCTAAAGCTTTGATTGAAAAAGCCTCCAATGCACAAACAACCCGAACGAATTTAAAGCTTTTTCGAAAACGAAATAAAGCCGACAATGATGAGATGGTCAATTTCGATGATCGAACTCGAACACATGTTTTGGATGTTCTTCACAGAAATTTGATTTAATTTTGTCCAACTTGTTGAATGATTTCCTTCTGTTCTCCAGGTTCCCCAGAGGGTCTGTGCAGATCCAAAGCTTGTTTAACTTCCACGTCATAGTCAATTGGAAGCGCGGTATTGGATTCTCGCCGCAGCCTTCGAATACCACTGATCACTGTTGAACACATCTTTTCCAGGTCGTAGTCGTGACTCCAGCCCCAGTCTCGACGAGCATTTGAGTCATCAAACATTTTTGGCCAACCATCAGCTAAAAATAACAATCTTACATCGTAAGATCATTCAATTTTCTGCAGAGGCAGATTTTGCAAGAAGCAGTGAACTGTGCCACGGGGAATGAATGCAGATGGAGTCAAAATAAATTAATTCTCACTAAGAAAGGCTCAAGTTGAGTTTGAGAAACATTGACAAATAATCGCATAATTTTTCATCTAAAATCCCCAGGGATCCAAAAGTAATAATTTGTTTAGATATTTATCGTACAGACTTTAGAGAGCTTTCTCCTACATTATTTGGGTTGGTGCATCATTTCGTGGACTGAATGAACGAGTAGGCCCGAAGGAGATCAACCTAAAAATAATCTTCCTTTATACAGTATGACGTTTCTCATCTTCTCTAATTGTATCGTAAATAAATTTTGATTATTCCATTAAACAAACTTTTTCTAGAATCTCACCAATTTGCTGACGGGAATCCGGGTTATAAGTAATCCTCAACTGTGGGACAAATTTTCTGACCATGTTTGCCAGTTGATGAGGGGTAAAACTCATAGCTGCAACATTGTACGTCCTTTGTTTCAGGTTTTCTTCATCAGCTTCCATCATCTTCAGAAGAAAAATACAGCGGGGTTCGTTTCAATAATTCTAATTTTTATTTCTAGATTCACTCCAGAAATAAATTCTCACCTCAGTCAAAGAACGCAAACAGTCATCAATGTACATCATGGGCAACATCGTATCGGGTTTCAGGTAGCATTCGTACTTCCCCGTCTTCAAAGCATCGTGGAAAATCTGCACAGCATAATCTGCAAGAAAACTGATACTAATATAATTTGGCCTTTCAATGGACAATCTTGTAAAACATGCATGGATTTTAAATGTACAGAATCACAGTTCTGTGATTTTCCAAATGAACTGTGACCGTCAGTGACACCTACCCTCACTGAAACAAGTCGGCATTGAATTTGATGAATGCACAACGCAGTAAAATTCATAGATTATATTTAGAATTTGTCCCTTTTTCATGAATTTCTCGACACTCTAGCCAAGACGATACACGCACCGGTTGTTCCACCTCCAGGGGCAGTTTCATAGCTGATGACCCCCGGGAACCGAAGACAGCGAAAGTCTAGTCCGTAACGTTCGTGATAATATTCCCCAAGCAACTCCGTATGCACCTTGGCGACTCCATAAATTGTTCTTGGTCGCTGAATCGTGAAATCTTGAACATTCTCCAAGGGCGTCGTTGGTCCAAACGCACCGATCGTAGACGGAATAAACACGCGGAGTTTATGCGTCCTGGACACCTCCAAAATGTTGTGGACACCTGCATTGAAAATTAAGCGCACACTGAATTAATGATACACAAACAACGTACTGCATCTACATACAATATAATTAAGTTCTTCATAGTTCAAGGTACCTTCTCATGGTACTTCTGCATACACGTTATCACCTGAAGACCTTTAAAATTCAAGGCACTTTAAAACAGTACAGGTACATTTGAAAAATGAGTCAACAAGTGGACTCTCCGCGGTCCACACAATTTTTATTTTCTTTATTAAACGACGTTTCCTCAATTTTAAATTGTTTACGAAGCTGGTCTAGATATAACATAAATATCCATAAAAACCCAACGAATACGCTGCGAACAACAGAACTTAGATTTCAATGGGCCTTTTATTATTCGTATTTCTGATTGATCGAAAGAAGGCATATAAGGTATCATATATCAGCTAACGGAGGTTTAAAAGCATCTAAAATGAAATTGGGGAAAATGAGTCACCTTCGATGTTGACTTTCATTGCAAGTCTTAGGTTCTGCTCTCCAATCGCGCTCAACAAAGCGCTGAAGTGAATAAGCCAATCAATTCGATGCGTGACGACGATGTTGTGCAACCCTTCTCCATCCAAAATATCAGCATATACATAAGGCCCTGACAAAAAAATAAAGAAAACCCTGTTCAATAAAGCTATGTTTGAATAGGCCGAGAATCACTTGGTTCACAGCCAAACCTGAAAATCATAGCGAACACTTCGGTAACCAGCTGATTTGCAATCATATTTGCCCCACGGATTCAACGGAGATTCACCTCTACGATTAAGCAATGTAAAAAAATTCCAGGAAAACATCTATATAGTTCCATTCATTCTCACCCTCAACTCCACGTTCTCGGTTTTTAATGCGATACAATACTTGCAAAATGCTGAAGTTACAGAAATATACGCGTCGTTTAGATTTTTGTTTAGTTCGTGACTCGATCAAGAAGTACTGATGGCATTCGCTTACCTCAAGTTTCTGTAACGAGTCACTCAAAGCTCCGATTGACTGGCAAAAATAAAGGTTTAATGAATAATTTTCTTCCCTCATAGAACCCCCGTACACAAAAAAAGTCACGATTAATTGTGTTAAACTACGTTGAAATGTGTAGGCTAGAGTCTACATAGAACCTTATTATTTAACGAAACAATATACGCAAATCATTGTGCATTTGTTCATGGAAAAATAATGAAGTGAGAATAAGTACGAACCACTTCGCATAATGTCGAAATCCGGCTTCACAATGTCAGACATGATGACATTATCGCTCCCAAACTTGGCACGCAAAATCTTAGCTAGACCTCGTCCCAACTGCCCAAGTGCACCTGGAAAATAATGGCAAAACTTTCGTGACGCAAAATAATGATTCATCCCAGAATAGCTGAATTCTGAACTCTTATATATTGCGTCTTATATCGCTTACTTTGACATTTTTGGCACACAAATGTTACAAAACGCATGCTCTGAAGTGAATGACGAACGGCGTCACAAAATGTCATTGGGATGTCCAACTAGGTCGAAAGGTCAAACCTTCGAAACATTTGGTTCCTCTGACACGGATTCCATTGAGCCTCTAAATGTACCAAAATAATTCCATTTCTCCTGGCTACAAACCGATTGAATGCATTCAACTATTCCGTCCTCTATTATACATACAGGGTTAAATTGAGACAGACTACTGCTGTACACAGAGTTCCCATCAACAAAACATACACGCCGAAGACGAGTTTCGGCTCGTTTTACTAAAACGCTTAATCTTGTATGACGTAATAAAACGTCAGATCTTGCATTGAGGAATGTCGCACAGGTGTCGTTCGAATCACAGTCTTAACATAACCGCAGTTACGGTATTACCTATCCTACTCAATTCATCCTTATTGGCTATGGCTCTAGCACAGATGTACATTACAATATTTAGCCTGGGCAACCGCAGTCAGAAATTGATGTACCTGGATGTCATTTATGTGCGCGGGGTGTTCAGTTAATTAGGTGCTAGTCTGATGGGGCAGCTTAAATCGCGAGTACCAACTGACCCAATTTAAACCAACTAATTCCGTATGAAAATTCAAACTTCGCGTGACACGGCGATTAACAGGGGGGACAGAGCATTTTTAAGAAATAAGCTTAAAATGATTTTATAATTACTCTGATACGGTTAGTCCCATTTCATATCCGTCATCAGAACGGCGTCACAGTCACAAAATATTTCCACTTACCTGTGATAAGAACCTTCGGTGGACCGGCGTTTGTTGACACCTTTCGTTGGACCGGTGTAGCTTGGCAAACGAAAGATCTTGGTCCGAGAGTCACTGAACAAGCTACATTTTGAAACACTTGTCGCATCCACAATGCGTTCATCTTTCTCACCTTGCCGTACAGATCTTTCCTCTGTTGATATACCGACAAATCAGTGCGAATGTGCAAAATTACGCCATTGGCATTAAACAGGGGTGAAGAAAAGATCTTGAAATAAAAAGCCGCCATCTAGCAAATGAAGAAAAAAGATGACGAACTCGAAATGCACACATTCCAACGGTAATTCGCTTATCGATTTATCCTTCGGAAATTGCACCTGATACGCACAATGTTGATCACTTCGTCTCCTTCGATGACCAGTGCATTCACTCGGTGGTGTAGTTTCTCTCTGATGGAAAAGGTGTTTCCACAAAATTCGGCATACGAAAAAATGGGTCAGTCTGAACTGTTTAACCTCAGAATCACGAGTTAAAGGAATGAGATATACAGTACCGAGTGTAGACCTTGATCCTCTCGTACAAATGGAAGACACAGGGTCTTTACGGCGTAAACGCGAGTCGCAGACTGTCGATAACATGCACTTATTCTTCATTCCCGCGTAGGAGCTATTCCAACTTCGGTGCCCGAGCCAGCTACACATGGCACCGCCATGACAGTCTGGCAAGGCCGACATCTACAAGAAATAAAATGAACCGAAATGCCAAAACGGACGCAGTGACATCTAAGCCAATTGCATAAGACCGTATTACTGTTACGGATCTCAACAGCAAGTGATGCTGACGAGCACATTAGTACAGTACTGTACTGTATAATGAAATGTTAATCAACATGAAAATAGAACTAATAAAGACGATTAGGCAAAGTGGAAAAAACATTTTCGATGACCATCATCAAACACATTTAAAAAAGCCCGATGCTGATCACTTTCTTCGTGAAAAGTCAAGTAGCGCATACAGCATCGATCGACTTACTTTTCCTGATACTGTACTCATCTATGCAGCACAGCTCACAGGTGTTTCAATTTCCGAATAAATCATATTTCATATAGAATGCGCATGAACAAGGCGTCCGAGAACAAGTTCCTCATCCATCCGAGCATATATGTTGACACATGTGACGTTGTCACACAAAGAAAATATTTCAAATGCTTCCCCTTCAGAAAGTGGTGCAGTCTGAAAACACCTGCAACATCATAGTCCATGTTAGTTGTCCTTCACTGTCAAAGCCAGCATTTTCAGATCTAGCAAAAGATGAAAACAAGCTTCCAAAAACAAGAAAGCACATATTTTTTCCTCACGCATAGAACACAGGCCCAGAAAAAAACACAAAAACACCACCAATTGATCTACGGGGTTTACAAATACCCCAGACACAAGAAAGCTATAGATGCAAGAGACCATCAAAATTTTCACAACCCATATGAACCAACAGTCATTTCAATTTTCAAGAACGACAAATCTGCTATGAATCCTTCCATCATTACAGACATCAACAGCAGTATTACCCGATCAGACAGAAAAACGGTAACACATAGAATATCGAGTCACGAACTCAAGCAAATTTCAGTAACCTGAATATCGAAAAAAAAAATCAATGCACATTGGGAAAATACACAGGGCGAACCTAGGGAGAATCCATACATCAAAATATAAAACGAGCAAAAATAACGCGGCTTAATTATTCAGACTCGATGTGCAGCATTTGGTCTCCAGCAATATTACTTTCTTTCCACAATTTTTCAAAAAGATCTTCGAGTTGTTTCGCGAATCCAGGAACGTTGTAAACCGAGGAGTTCCGGCGGTTTTCCAACAGCTTGCTTGAAATTTTCTGCAACCTGCAAAAAGGACAAGTGAAACACAGATCGCTCGGTGAAATAAAAAAATTTGAAATTTTATTTCGCATTTTCGTCCATGAATGATTCACTTACTTGGTTTTATTCGACCCGAGACGGACAGCAATGTCAACATACTCTTGATCACTACTCGCAATCAGTTCTTGCAGACCAAGCGCTGTCAACTGCGATGCTCCGACTCTCGATGCCAATGTTTCTCCTGTACATTCATACAGTACATGTAAATAATTTTCACGTTTCATAATTATAAACAACAACAAAAACAAGCTTGGAATTACTGCATATACATATGAGGTCATTCAAATAAATAAATTACATTTCATTTTTATTTGAGTTGAGAAAAAACTTATCACATTCCCTATAATTGTGGTTCTGGAAATAAATATGGGAAGTTATTGAAAAAAATCGATTTCGGTTTTGAACATTTTATATTTTATAAATGTTTCAAGCTCTATAATACATTTGAATCATGAATTTTAGATCCAACCACACATCTCCAATAACTTTCGATATCATAATATATATCGACCCAATGCAATACCTTGATTCGAGCAGAAACTATCAGCCAAATCTTCAAACGCTCATGAAATGCTGGGAAAAAGATGAAACTTTTTATAAAAGAATAGAAAAGGGGAAATGGCAAAGAGCACATTGAAATAAAATCTGGCAGCAGATGCTTCAGCTTCTCTCCCATCGCACATGAGATTCGTTGCGCATTGCAATACAGTATTATAATATCTGAATGCTGTAACTTTCCATTCAACGAGATGTGCAATCATCGAAGAAACATACCAGGACACGTTATCATCGGCGTTCCAGCCCACAAAATATCGAGACCAGTGGTGTGTCCATTGCACAAAAGTGTGTCCAAACAGACATCCGCCAACTGGCCTCTCCTCACGTGTTCCTCTTTTGGGGCGACTTCTGAGAACACTAATTTAGATTGCGGAATCCCTTCTTGATTCGCAAATATACGGATGTTCTTCTCTCCACCAGCAGGAAACCGCAGCAACCAGAGGCAGGATTTTTCCACTCGTCTCAAAATCTACAACGCCGAGAGAAATCAATTAAAATGCATGTACACATCAAATTCCTGTTCCCCAAACGAAAACTGTATAACCTATTATATTTTTCCACGAGACCTTTCCAGTTTACTCGAGTACCGTATACAGTACTTATCAATTTATGTGAATCCCCACACGTGACTCATATTGAACCCGAAAAAAAAACCTCAACTCATTTATTTACCGACGTATTTTTCCTGATTGGATAAGAGCTACAAGATCGCGAAGACAAAAAGCAATCGAAATTCATTCAATTACCTATCAAGGTTTTCACCATCTTGAAGAATATAAAAACATAAGAACCCAAGGCTTAATTCCATAATGGCGCGAAGAAGTGGGACAGCGAAGTTGCACTCTGGCATTACTTATAATTATGAATATGATACAACGTATCTATGAATATTTTTCTTCATTATCCTGAACTTCTCAATTATAAAAAATCCTTTGAAACCCTTTAAAAAAGTAATCTATTAACTATGGAAATGCGTTCCAGCTGGGTCATTCGTAGAATTTTTGAACGTGCATAAAACTAGGAGTATCTAAAAGAAAAAAAAAGAAGAAATCTCCACCAACAGCTATCGTAAGAAAGCTCACAATATGTAGCTTCGGAACTAATAAAGAAACCAGCATAATCAAAACCACAAAATGAACTTATTCAGAAGAAAGCTGAATTTCGAAGAAAAGTTTTATTCATTACGATAGAGCAAACCTATCAGGAAGATCGTTACTTTTTGAAGATCGCCCATTTTTCATTTTATTTCTGGCCCAGTAAGTATTCCGTAACACTGATGCAGCATGTTCGAGGTTCGAGACAATAACGAACTGTATCCATGCAAAAATCGTCGATAAACCTTTTACACTGCAGCACAGTTCTTTCAAGCTATCACTATACGAATGACGAGCTTAATGATGCATCAAAATACTGTATAAAATACAGTGCAATACCTCGAACCAAAGACGCATTGTTCTAGGATCCAGTTTGTAGAGTTGGTTGAAATTGCAGTAAACGACTGCGTCCGCGGGAAGATTGTATTGAGATCTGCAAGTGACCATAACTGTCCTCGGGACTCGTTCTCCTCTGGCAACTTTCTTGTCGCTCACTTGGGCACCGTTTTGATATGTGACGCCATTCACAGTCACTTCCACCAGCGAATTCTTCAACATGACCTGGAAGCAAATGTTTCGCTTGAAAAGGTCATTCGGATTCTTTGAAAATGTTCGAGCAAAAAGATGCAGCATTGAAGCGAATTACGGAAAAAATACGGTGGTGCCCTCTGAGACATGCGTACACAATTAAGTAGCCATAAGTCACAATTTCCAAATCTGCCACATCAAATTTTCCCATGGACTTCAACGAGAAAATTTGAATCACTTCTGTTTTTTTAAAAGCTCTCCAGAGTATCAATAAAATACTTTTCCGAGCATTAAAATGCGGAAAACAACTGTGCAGAAGAATTCCGCACAGAATCAGTCCTTCTGGCATGAAAAAAGAGACCTAAAGTCAAAGAATAAGCATGCATTTTGCTACCCTGTACACAACTGACGGACAACTCCCTACAAACACATGCACAAAATCAGTCAGTTGTGAAAAAATAAATTAAGGTAAATTTCGCACGAGATTCATTTCGACTTGATGCCTTCGACAGCAGCTCAATTTTTTCAAGAGATATCAAACATAAAAAAGTTATTACTTTTTCTTTGTTCTGTCCATATCTTTAGACATTTTCCAGATGTCGGGGTGGATTTTTGAGTTCGAAGTGCCCATAAATGAGTCAAATCTTACGCGTGTCGGAGCCAGCAGAAATATTTTGGAAAATAAATTTGATGTTTTCGTTTCTCATACAGCCACTCCCTTGAAAATGTGTCGAAAATCTTTCCTCGTGAGCTTTTCTATTACTCTCCGCCGCTGTACTTTTGATGGGAGCCCATTAAAAGACGGGACTATTCAAGCAATAAAGTACTAATGCTCGTCAATTAAAACATATGACATTCATAGGAATCTGAGTTCACGGCATATCTGGACGTTGATAATACTAATTAGTTATTAAAATACAGTACTGTACTACAGGGGCAAATTTATTCCACAAAAAACTTCCGGACATGAGCACACATCATGAAGCCTAACACTTCCACGAAATGAATCAGAAAAACGGAAGTATTGTACGCTGTACTGTAACTTCTTCTTTGACTATTATACTTTTTGGGAAATTCAGTCATCTTATTAAGAACAAAATTGCATTTTCGAAAAGCACTTTTATTTTGAACCTTGCCAAGAATTTTGGCGTTTATATTCATACACAAATATGAAAAAAAAAGATATTGTTCTGCCCGGAGGTTATTTCTATGTGGTATTTACATTTTTGGATAGTTGAACGAACTTTCGAACTAAAATTAACACTTGACCGCTGAAAAAAGTAATTAAAATATCCTCCTCAACAAGTTCTTAGTCAGATTAAGGTGGAAAAAGAACCGTTTAATAAAACGGAGAGCACGTTTTCAACAACCAAAATTTAAAAGAGCCTGAACCCTTTTTTGACAATTTTTTGAATTTTTGAGAGTTTTCCTCTCAATTTCAAGGGAAATGGCGCCCGTCTTACTCGAGTAAAAAAGGTAATACAGTGTTCGGAATAATATTTGCTGGAAATGTTCCGATTCCGATTTTCTCCAACAAGGAATCCTCTCAAGTGAAGTCTCTCATCGTCACCCGAAGAAGAGTTTCGTCCATTGCCCAAATCAAAGGTCAGAATAACAGCTAGCGTTTTTCGTTAAATAAAAAAACGAGGAATAATTATCCTTCTTGCCATTGAGGTCGGAGAAATTCGTACCTGAATTTGTCCCATGACCTCGTCACCAAGCAAACACTCGTTCCCGGGGTTGCCGACTCCATCGGTGGGTCCGGACGCCATACGCAACGTCACTGCTCCAGCAGAATACAACTTGCTGACAAGACCTCGAGCATTGAGAACGATCTTGTCACTTTCATTTCCCCTGTTGACCGCCACGGCGAGCTTTTCAGCAACGTGTGGGAACATGGCGGCGTGATCGCCGACATAGTGGGAGGACGCCAGGTACGCCAGGGTTTCCTTGAAATGTCCCGCGCTTTCCGGCGGGGTCGCCACGGGGTCGGTCACGATGTAGTCGATGAAAGACGCTCCCATGGTTCCCGGGTAACCGAGCCACAAAACCTTCGTTTTTTAAAAACGCGAAATTCAATATATTTCCAGTTGAAAAAATACTTTTGCAGCTGAGACAGACAATTTTATAAATTTGCTCAGCTATCAACACAAAAAAGGACACAGATTTATGAACTGAGGTGCTAAAAACGTTCACGTGAGCCTTCTTCGAGGAATTGCTTAGGAACACCTTTTCACTCGAACATAAGGAAATCGATAGCTTTTGAATTCAGGTTCCCAATGATGTTTCACACAAATGCACACATTACTACTGGGACATTTGTGAGCGGGTAATGTTCTCTATACCAACAAGTGAACAACTACTTTTCGGCACATTCCTTTTCCACACTATTTTCAACCTTTTATCCCTGGTGCTAATGATTTTGTCTAATTTCTTGAGGGTAATTTGCGTGCCGATTACGGTATTATAAGAATCGGAACTGGACATGGTGGGGATAATTTAATCAATTTAGACCTAAAAGGCAGATGCTTAGAGGACTGGAAATGTAGAGTCGTCCCATGCTTTTTATTTTTAAATTTCGGCTACTTCAAGTTTCTCGTTCAAACGCAATAATTTTTCTATCAATAATAGAACAATACGGGAAAATGCGTCTTATCAAATGAACAACTGGTACAGCATCAGAATAACAGATCTCGTATTTTTTAACACCACTGTTCAGTAAGTTCCAACTTCGCCACTGCTCCCATTTCGAAAAACGGTCGGATTTCCAAGCTCAAAGCATACAATGGAACGTGATCAATTAATATTCATATTCTCAGGAGATAAAAAGAATGCAAATTTTTGGAAACTACAATCTGTGAAATCTGCAATGTTGTGAACTGTTGAGCTATCAAAATTTCACCACGAAGCCCCTGCACAAGTACAGGTTTAAAATTTTTATTTCTTCTGAAACTGATGTGTTGTATTCCGGGCATCTCCAACATAAGACTGACCACTTTCCATGAAACCTCTGTCCTTGGCCATTTTCAAGAAGAACCTGTGCAAGCAGTCATTTTATCTACCTCGAGGTGATGTATGCAATAGACGGTAGGTGGCCATGATTGAGTGTGACTCATCAAGTAGAAAACTGGAGTCTCATAGCAGAATGCGGATGACACGGATAATTTTTTTGTGCCTTTTTCATCATCACTTGGGTAACATGATTTGAATTTGCGGACTTCAGATGAGAGGGATAATCAAAAACGCGAAGGGAAAAAGGCATAAATCAAATATTCTCTCATCGGTGGCCTTTTGAAACACTAATGCTGGTCATAACACTTCAGCCGGAGTCAAGCGAAATTTAAAAAATATCGGAAGGGCGACTGAATAAGTTAGCATTTTGGGTTTTCATTCAACAGCGGTCGGTGTCAAGAATTTCGCCATCGGAAATTCGGCGCAATCATTATTATTATTAACTTAATATACTGTACCCATATTTACTCGATTACCACGCGCTCTTTTATAAGACGCACTTCAGGGTTTCTCAGTTGGAAATTTTCTTCAAATCATATCCCCGAGTAAGACGCGTACCCCACTTTTAGTGACTCAAAAACCCACAAAATTGTAAAAAATAGGAACGCACCACTTTTAATTTAGAACTTAATTGAATACAAATTTGACCAATTTTTAATTTTTCAATCAAAATAAGTTTTCCTATTGAATTAGTTCCAAAATTTCCAATTAAAGTATTATCAAGTGTAATGCACACCTAACTTTCTAAAACGTCTTTAAAATTTTATACTCCCTATGACGCGCACCCCTTTTTTGTCATTCTGAAATTTGAAAAAAATGTGCAGGTGGTACTGGAGTAACTACGGTACAGTATTTTGCTCACGGAGGATAGAATATCGCACATATGGTTGTTACCTCAGGATTTTGAGTATATTCCGATAATTATCTATAAAATATAGAACAAAAATGAAGCCTTACTTGAACAGGTGCTGGTTTAGCAGCAAAAATCTCAGTCCTCGCGCCTCTGGTGTATCCATTCGTGTTGACGAGGATGTGGATGCCATCCCGCCTAATCCGCTCAGCAGCTTCTCTGGAACTCATTTCAGACACGTCCAAGAACTCATCAGCTCCCTGTTTCACATTACGTCTGAACTCAGATCCGTCGTCTCCACTAGTTGCATAGCAGTACACCTTCACCCGAGTCCTGTCGTGCACTCGAGGCACAGACTGCATCAAATGCGACGTTGGATGATTCCCAAAATCCGAACTCACGTAGCCTATCTTCAGTCTGCGATCCCGAAGATGAGTCGAAGTCCCCGGGCTGAATCTAGTATTCCCACGGTTATCATCATCAGGGCCCGAGATTCTAGGGATCAAATCATTCTTGAGATCAGAACGGTCGCAGTTTTTCCGGATATGTTCAGGGGCAATTTTAAAACGGCGACATTGATTCTCCGTCTCATCGGGGATCAACATATCGGATCGCATCCCCCGCCGTACCGAGAAACTCTTCGATTTAACACTTTCGGGAAAGTTGATCAAATCACGCGAGTTTTCATGCAATTCCCTCGAGGATTCGACAGCAGCTTCTCGACACGCAACGGCCAGTGAGTGTGAGTCTTCCAATTCACACTTGACACCAGACTTCTTTCGTGAAGACGGCAAAAGTGACTCAGACGAACTGGAGAGATTCGTTGAATGAACACTCTCTGAATTCCTGAACAATTCATCGTCGCACGAAGCAGAGTTGATCAGAAGCATCGTCTTGCGACCCAAACGACTCAAAAAGGAGTCTCCTGGAAGGACCCGAATATTGGACAAGAAGCTCTTGTTCGACGTCGGAGTTCCCCGAAAGGATTCTACCGTCAAATCGGACCCCACATCAGTGTTCCTAACGACGCAGCCGGGTTGAATCGGACCAGAAACATCTTCGCAAGAATTTTTCCATAGTGTGTACGGAGGGAGCACCGGGGTGCGGGTTGAAGCTCGTTTGGCGTGTCTGGCAGCAATTTCAAGCCGAATCTGCGGCGAAAGTGATGGATAAAGCATAGAATGATGCGGATGCACGCTGGGGACCCCTTGGTCTTCCAACAGCTGATGGGTGACCAGAAGGTGTACCCTTTGCTGCAACTTGTCATAGTCGTCCCATTGACAAATCAGTTGCAGACTGTGCACCAGGTTACACAGCGCGTCCGGGAAATCCGGTTTGATCGAGAGTGCAGTGCTGTTGAGGAAGAAAATTCGAAACAATGAAATCGCATTGTTTTGTCATATCAGCAAGAGATGAGAAATGTAAGTACTGTACAGTAAATAGCACGCTTAAAACTGATCGGATTATCGATGTCACATGATATAGAAATGAGGATGTAATTTCATGAGAGCACTTGTCATCACAATTCTTCACTGAGTCATCCCATGCTCGAGGCAAGTTTCATTCACTGTACAGTTTTCGAGTACCACGGGCTCCAAGACTCCCAGCATTGATTTTTTCGGCACAAAATTTTCCCATGAACAAATCTCTAAGACCCAGACCACAGTTTATGCCGGCTGAAAATTGATCATGAAAAAAAAGCATTACAAATAAATCTTATAAAATTACCGTGAAGAAGGAACATTCAAACGAGATTGGTGCCAAACAACATTTCCAATTCAGTCTTGCTCATCTATGAATAACACTTTTGTCTTACACCAGTATGGTTTCATGAGTTTCTCTGCTGAAAAATGTGTACAGTACCTGCATACCACGTGCACCACATTTTCTGCCTTAATTTCTTAGGAAATAGGTGGCGCGTGGTAATTTTGTAAATAGGGTTTCTCTGCCACGCAAGTATGAAAGAGGAGATAATAATTCTGAATTCATCTTTCGCTCTGATGGGAATGCTTTATTACGTGTAGTTCATTCACCAAGAATATGCAAAGCGCGGCTGTACGGTTAGTCAGGGTTATACAATACTGTACAGCAATGTAAGCCAGAATTACAAACGCTTATATTTTTTTTAGTTTCAAGAAATATCCTTGAAACAACCTTAAAATGGAAACCAAAAATCCCATGGAATCCGATGAACACGAACACCGGATTGCATACTTTTTTGAACTTTTTAGACGCGTGCTCACGATTAGTTTCATTTTCAAGAACATTGCCATGGGAAATAACTGTAGTTTTCCACCTTACAGGAGAACATGTGAATCACCAGCACTATTGCATTTTGCATCAGCATAAAATATTTGATCGTATTTTTTCAAGTTTCCTCGCTCAACGTAAAATTCGAAGTATAGTATCATCACGATGTTATGAAACAAAATCTCTCAAACGTATTATATCGATCATTTCCGAAAGGAAACTTAAGTTAAGTTAATCGGAATGGATACATAGAAAAAAAATTACTCATGCTTTCACATCTTTGCATCTTTAGAAACCTCGAGGTGAAATAAAGCCCAGCTGGATAACTGTATAGAAGGAAACAAAATCAGTTTTACTCCTTGAAAGCAAGTAAGATCTCCGCACTGACTCACCGGTAAGACAAGACGGCTTCTTCAATGTGGCCGCCTTCCTTCAACATGGATCCCAAGTTCAAATGGGCATCCGCGTACTCGGGATTGATCTCGATGGCTTTCAAGAAGCACTCGACCGCGGCTCCGTCGTTCTTGAGCTCCTTCATGGCATTACCCAAGTTGGTGTAAGCATCTGCGAACAACGGCTGAGCCTCGATTGCCCTCGTGTAGTGATTCACAGCACCTGATGGGTCTCCTTGTTGCTGCGCCAACGTGCCCAGATTCGAATGAGCAGGTGCTGGAAAGTAGATTATGAATTGACGATACGGGTTCTTTTTCAATTACGAGATAAGACATTTTTCGGTGGCGGCAGATTTCTCTACTACTTTCTTATTAAACTCGCCCTTGACAGGGAAACACATTGACAAACTTTAAAGCAGACACCTACGATATCAAGAGAATAAATACTGTAATTTCTCCTTCCTTCAACATCTCATCAAGAATTTCGAAGCACTTTAAAAGTACTTCTCAGACAACCCCGAAAATGGTCACGGGTTTCGAAGTTAGCAATTAGACAATCGAACCGCGACTAAATAAGTGAACAAAACATGCTTTTTCAGATTTGGCTTGAGCATGGACGTCATCAAATGCAGACATTTTACGGATTTTAGCATCAATAATCCGCCTAATTGCAGATTCGTTCCAAATTATGGTTCTGAAGTTTATGTCGGTTAAAATTCCCGTTTCTACTGGTTTTGCGATGATGCTTGTGTTAACCGTGGATATTGCAGTTTTTATTATTTTCGGTAAAAGATCTGGGAAACGGCCCAGCACAAAAGTCTGAAAAATGTGGATACAGAATATTGCATTATTTGCCATCATACCTAAGGATTGGTTCACTTTGACAGCAAGCTCATATTGAGCTCGAGCTTCTTGGAACCGGCCTCGTTCTCGCAATATGTTCCCGAGATTGTTGAGGCATTCGGGCTGGGATGGGGAGAACTTGAGCGCAGTCATGTAACAGTGTTCCGCTTCCGTGATCTTTGTAAGCGAAAAGTAATGGAAAAACAAATAATTGATGAACGTTTCGGTTTCTGCTCGTGGGGGAAAGAAAGAAGAGCTTGTGGATATCAGGCCTCACCATTCCTTTGGCGACATACACATTTCCCAAATTGCACCACGCTTGCCAGAAGTCCAACCTGTAGCTGATTGCCTTGTGGAAGCTTTCCAGCGCTGCTTCCACAAACCTGAGGCGTCAAAATATCACCACGAATCAGAATCGACTCTTCGTTTTCAACAGGGGAAATCAATTCTGAAATTACTATTCTGATGTTAATGCAATTTACCCATTTTCGTATTGACAGCAGCCTTTGTATCCATGCATTGCGGCGAGCTGGTATTCTTTGGGATGCTTGGAATAATTTGAAGCAATCCTGCGAAGCAAAAACAAAACAAAATCAGTTCATGTTTTGAATAACGAGCAAAATCGTTATAACTGCATGTTTTATGACGCGATGATGAGGATGGCCATGCGCGGTGCGATCAGGCATTTTTACGTGAATCTTAGTGTCTGAAGTTCGGTCTTTTTGGGGAAATGAATAACTGAAAATCTGCATCAGCGGAGTCAGTTCAACAAGCAGTAGAAAGTGAAGCTTTTCCCGTAAGAACCACCGTTGAGAAACTTGATACGATTGTGCATATATACTTGTACGTATTTACAGTACAGTACTGTATAGTACACTCATGGTCGGTGTATACTAATGATGGGAAACATTATACTGCATCCCCTTCTTTTAAATGATACACCAGCATGACGATAAAAATACAGTAATAATTAAGTAATGAGACGGATTCTTTCTGATCTCGTTATTTCCTGTATTTTTTTGTGCGTCTCAGAAAACGTTGGGAGCGAAAGGACGGAATAAAGGAAATTAGGGGATTTCCCGAGGACGAGATGGAGACCTCATTTCGTAAAGAGAACCAATTTATTTCCGGAATGATCGACTGCTTTCCGGTACACGTGACCGGTCCAATCGAATGTTGAATATTTCATTCAACAGGAAAAGATCAACAAACGCATCACTGCTGAGTAATCAACGGCAGCGGATATTGCGGGATATTGTGAAACGACCGACGTATCCTTTTTCCAGACAGTCAATACGATGAAAATTGCACTGAATCATGTACTGTACCTTATTTGCAATACAGTATAGCCACAAATACGAGCACAGTATATACTGCACTGCGCATTAATTCAGATTTTGATGATTGACGCCATTACCTTAGCTCTGTGTGCGCGATTGAAGATACATTTTTCTTGAAATTTATCATCAGACTAAAGGCATTTATAACGAACTAGGAACTTTTAGTTGCATGTCAGAAATTCACGGCTCAAAAGAGCATTTATGAAAGATAAAACAGAACATTTATTGAACAAAGGAGGAAGCGGCCCGAGTGCACAAAAAAGATGTATAATTTATTGAAAGTAAGTCAAGAACTGTACGTTAAGTTTAAATACTGTAATTGGTAAATTTGCTTCATTGTGAACTGGTTTTCATTAACTTTCTATTTTGAGATTGGCTTTTTTCATAGTACCTGCTGCAGTCTTAATGTACCATCTGCAACTAATTTAAACAGAACATCGTTATAATCTCCGTAACTTAAGGCACCATTATGGCATGATAATCCCGGCTATATGGCATAGCCCCCATCCATGATCCGAAGGTTGATCCATGCAATAAAACAATCACCATCACATAGCTTTCGGGTTTACATTTCTGATCAGTTCATGATCACGCATATTTTTCAAAGGTGTGACTCACGAAACTCAGCGTGAACAAATGAGCGCCGCGCAATACGACTGCATATGCAGTGCAGTAGTCCTATACAGTATACAGTACTGTATAGATACTGTATTGAAATTTGCTTATTCCGCTCCACTCAATCTTTTGCTCTCATTTTTGTCATTTATTCGCAACGAACTTGGTCCACAACGCGTTTTCCACAAACTAAAATACATCTGCCATAAATCATCCGATCTTGAACATACAGAATACTGTATGTTGAAAAATATCTTCAATGAAAAAGATCCCTGGCGCAGTCGATTCGCTTCTCCCACTCAGAAATACAACACTGTTCACTTCATCTTCCCAAGCCACCGCGTATAAACCCTCTCTGATATCTCGTCTCAAAAATCCAAGCTAGTTTTCCTAAGCCAACAGTATCCCGACACAGCATGAATATCAGAAGAAGGAAGCAGAAGCATCTGAACCAACGCGAGCGAAGAAATCGTTGTTTCGCAGCAGCAATAAGTGGCTCCCGTCGGGGGGGGGGGGGGGGGGGGGGGCCTG